CCTGGATCGCAGATTATTCATGTTGGCCTTACTTGTCAAGGTTAGGTCTGTTTCTGCTTTTCTTTTCACGCACAGCTGATGATCCTATTTACAGACTTTCAAACTGATTTTTACTTCGCCTTTTTTGGCTTGAGAGGACAATGGGGCTCCTGGAGTACCGCAAATACTACAACAAAAGGCAGCTCTCAGATCTACCCGGTCACATGTTGCTTCATTGCTGGATATGAAGACGGTGATGCCCCGAGCACTTGTAACAACCAAGAGTTTTTATACCCCGGCGCACAACTCAGGCAAGCAGTAGTGAAGTGAGTGGGAGTGGGTTACCCCTTACGATGGGACCAAGTTAGTCGTAGGTAATCAACAGGAGGACTCGCTGAGGAGTCTCCTTGATCTATTGGGGTATATATACTACTACAGGTTGTTTGTACATGTGTACTATACAGTTGATGAAGGCAGTGGCTGATGATGTCATGGGGCACAGCCCGTGTGACCAGTTCCACTGTGTGAGATACTTGTGTAACAACCAAGAGTTAGTTACTCTGGTGCACGCAGGAACACACTATAAAGGTGGTGATGAGGGAGTAGTTACCCCTTAAGCTGCAGAGAGTTTGTTGGTATACAACAGGAGGACTCGCTGAGGAGTCTCCTTGATCTATTGGGGTATTTATACTAATACAGAGTGTTTGTACCTATGTACTGTACAGTTGATAAAAGCAGTGGCTGATGATGTCAGAGGGTGCAGCCTGTGTGACCAGCTCCACTGCGTGAGAGAGTTTGTGTCCAAAAGAAGAATAAAGGCAGCGCTGCACGAGAAGGTGGAGTTAGAACGAAAAAGGAAAGTGCCACATGGCACGGAGTGTGAACTATAGTAAAAGGTTTAAAGCGGAGAATGAAAATTAAAGGAAAGGTCTGAAAATTGTGTTATCGTAACAACTTGTAGCTAACAATAAAGAAGGGCAGTGCAGCATGAGAAGGTGGAGTTTGAACAAAATGGAAAGTGCTGCATGGTACAGTGTGTGAAAACTACAGAAGAAAGTTAAAGAGGAGAATGAAATTTAAAGGTCGGAAAATTGTGTATTGTAACAGTGATAGCATATGCTGCTATACAGGTGAGTACATGCCAGTTATGTTGTAGAGAATAACTGTGCCAACTTGCTTCAGTTGCAATTTGCACTATCCAGTGTTAGCTCATGGCGAATAATTGATGGTGATTTTGATCTGCATGATTTCTACCGCTGTCTTGTTGATAAAGTGTTTGATATGGGATAGCTACCAAAGCTTCTTTATCCTAGGGTTACCGGAAGTTTACAACCTAAGCTGGACAACGGGTAATAATCCAGTTCGTTCGTGGGGTGGGAGTTAATTATCCCTTTTGTTGTGAGTCTGTCAATAGTCCTCGTGCTCTGGAAGACTAATATGACAATGGTAGATATGTCCTTGGTGATATAAAGGACAAGTGGTAGTATGTGAATAGAAGTGTGAGGGTACGTGTGAGTTTGAAGTGTTATGTGACTAGCTTCAAGATATAGCCAACACTAGGTGTGACAATGATAGTCCTCACTTGTTGAGAGACTGATAGAATAAATATAATAGTGTCCTACACTTGATAAAGGACAAACTATGATACACTGATGGTTGATAGAAGGGTGAAGCAATACTTGAATATGTTTCAGTGACTGACTGCAGATGAGCTTACACCAGATCAATAAATGACTGATATAAGTTTGAGATGGACTATAGAATACTAGAGCTACTTGTGGCAAATAATAAATAATCACAAACTGTAATCACACTTGGACTACTGTTATCTGTGACAGATGTGACTTGATGACTAAGCTTTCTAGGGTGGGCAATACCTCTTGTATGCTTCCTAGGCCAAAGCTAGTTGACTTCTGAGTGGTTATCCACTTATGTGGGGACTGCTTGTAAGTATAAGTAAGCTTTTTTTTTATTAGGTGGAAAGTTGGCCTCCTTATATACCTTTTGGCTATAGGGGCTCCTTCCTAGTTGGTAATTACAAATGGTAGTACCAAAATATCTAATGGAAATTCAAAAGGCCAGAATCATCTATTGGGAATCTAGATGATTCTAGAGTGGTCTTTTTGAGACTAAGAATAGAAAAGTAATTGGAAAATGTGGAGCAAAATATGACTCAGTCAGGCACAGTGTTCTATTTATAAGAAACAAATGCCAATTCAGCCTTCTCCACAGTAAAACAAGAATTTTGGAGAATTACCTTATTTGGAAGCCCTCCAAAAGTATCCAGACTGATAGGGGCTTGAAAATATTACCTACTCCCCAAAAACTGGAGTGATTGGTGAAGTGGTTGTTGAGAAAAAGGCAGATTATGTCGTGGGAAATTCACTTTCCCTTTTTAGAAACTGACCATGTGCAAGCCATGTGGTCAGATTTCAGGGTGGCTGCCAGTGGCTGACAGTAAGTGTGATACAAGCATTCTTGTTTGGCTCATATCTCCAAAACTAGCGGTCATCAAAATATAAAACTTTGTGACATAGTACTTTGGAATGTGTACTTCAAGATGAGGTAATTTTGGCGGGGTACAATATGTCGTGGAATGCCATGTCCATACATGAAACATTTTTCATGTATGGCAATGTTCTTGACAAAGTCGTACTAATTGAATATGTTGCTATGTGTCTCATTTACATTGTCGTTACTGTGTCAAAATATATTTTATGTTTATTTAATACATTCATACAGTCAATCAATGATTCAAAATGTAATACGTAGCCATCCTGAGGTAAAGTAACAAACTGGAGGGAACATGGCCCTTGCGCTACATTCCAGCCATTCTGGCCACAAACAACAAATGCACATAATGTAGACTTATATTAGAAATGTGTTGTCTTACCTGCCCATTTCTGTGGACATGCACAGAAGTCAGCCTTGGTTGCTGTTGGCACTGTAACACATAAGAGAGCTGCTGGGCCAAATGAGCCATGAATATTGGTAGGATCCTACACAGAAAAAAATGTGAGCCAAGCCAATGGATTAGGAGTCCAATGATTAATGTTGGGATTTCTGAAGATCCTAGAGCCGCAAGTAAAAATTTGAAAACTTTGGCAATGACACCACAGAGTGTCACATGTGATAATGGCATGTGAGTGATAAACTAATTCACATTACATGTCATGTTTTCAGATCATTGAAGTGGAGGGATTTCATGTGAAGGACTGTGATTCATTGCAATCCTTGACAATATATATTTAGATGAGGAGTCGAAGGCAAGATTCTGGATATGAACAACTGAGGGGAGCAAACCATCCTAAGGTATGAGACTATATACTATACGAACACACGTGCATCTGCATCACGTGAACGTTTGAATATCCGTAGCATCACCAACTTTGTAACTCTGCAATCCAACATTATTCTGCCAGCATATGGTGGCATGTGTTTGCCTTTAACTATATGTGATGCACTAGATTAACACTAGTCAGTGAAGTGAAAATATGGCAGTAATTGTAAAGGGGTATTGTATTGTATATTCGACAAGCAGTCGTGAAAGGATTCATCAATACAGTCGAGTCATAACGCGAACAAGGTGTCAAGCAAATGTGTAAACAGTCTTCTGCGACAAACATATTTTTTACGAAGGAGAGCTCTCACCCTCAACAGCATTCATAAAAGAAAACAAAAACACTGAAAGGATGATTTAGGAAGACACAGGTTATATCAAAGACGAAAGACACCACATGACCCATACCAAACCAACAAGCCCCGCACTCGACGGTGCTGACCAGCGCATACCAGCACCATCCACCAGCGGCGCGGCCTGTAAGATAGTCTGATTGAGACAGTCCAACAGCGTCGTATCGATGCCAGAAGGCAGTGGCGAATCTGGTGCACTGGTGTCGTTGCTAAGCGTCGCCGAGTTGTTGTACCCATCAAGAGTGAGGACCACACTGCTCGCGCGATAATATTGCACCGCCTGTTCTGGTTCGGGCACCCCAGGCGCAGACTGGTTGAATGGCACGGGAGAAGTAGAACTCGACGAGGAGAGAGATGAGGAGCAGTTAGAGTCTATGGATGTGAGGAGCGACGAGACGGTGCTGTTGTCCGAGAGGAGGTGGAATGTCGTGTTGGTGCTATTTGAGACGAAGGTGGCTTCTACCATGGGGCCACCTACGCGGCTGGTATTGGTGGAGTCACCGTACTATTTGAAAGGACGGTAAGATTCATAGACATTGGTGAATAGAGGTGAACATACTTCTCTGTCTACGAGATATGCACCAGAATTTGCCCCTGCGCCGCCCCATATAACAGGCCAGAACCAGAAGGGAAAGCCACGGCCAGTAACACCCCGACCTGATATTCCAGGATATCCACTTCCATATGTCCTGGATGTCAGAAAAGCAAGACATCGTGTGAGTATTCAAGACGAACGCGAGATACATGGAGTGTATAGTTACCGTGTACCGACGACTTGCTGTCTCGTCCCCCCTCCAGCGGTACGACCTGAGAATAGCTGTCCCGATGGAATCGTGATGGACTTGCCGCCGCCTGCACCATAAGACGTCGCTGAAGACTTTCCACTGGCTGAGCTTCCGCTCAGAGGAACACTACTGGTGCGTCCCGCCGTTCCACCGGTGCTTCCTCCGCTACTGCCTTTGCTTCCCGATCCGCTGCTGGTCCCTCCTGACTCCCCGCCTGAACTAGAGCTTCCGCCTCCACCACGACCGCCACCTCCGCCCCCTTTGCGACGAGCAAGAGTTTGCAATTTGGGCGTAATGAAAGGTACATACATGGCGTGGTGTGGGATGAGTCGATGATGTTACGAGACACAAATCCAATTCCGTGTTATAGCTTTATATATGGATAGTGATCCGTACCTCAAAGCTGTGTTTGTCGCAAAGTGCACATGTGACAATATATTTGGAGGCTGTTGACGCTGTGTCTAGGTTTCTAGAAGACCCGTAACCTTACCTTTAGCTTCCAGGATATTGTTTAGCACAGCCACCCCGAAACACACGTCATGTGGGCGCGAGTGCTTTTCTGTTAGAACTTTTGCTTTGCACAGCCAACACGCGTACAATGTAGACTATCGCGACATAGTTGAGGCCTGTAACATCAGGTGAGAAATAATGCATCTGGCTCACTTCTTGCTTTTGAGGATCGTCAAAACTGAAACCGTGCAGTACAATAGACAATAGTGGCTCATTCGAATAAGTGAGTAGACTTTTCAGTCAAAATTCAGTTCATTATCCTGATACTAAAGCTATCACTAGTAATGGTACCATGAGTAAGGCACCACGGTGCTGGCACAAGTCATGCTGTCGTGCTATGGGGTACTTACAAGTTACCATCACAGGCGCTTGGTTGCATGCCGATGCTGTCAATGTACGGCAACCAGATGTCAGTAAACCTACCAAAAGCACTGGACCGGCGTTTTCGATCCGATTAGATGCGACCTGGGGACAGATGCTACTGTTACACCGATCATAGTATAGCAGTTGACCTTCTGCACCCATCAGGAATTCCTTCCGCTCAAGGTGTTGAATACGATTTTTATCAACAAGGAAGATCGGTTTGGACGCAGGCACGTCGCTTTCCTTGTGCAGGAAATTTCTCGAAGGACTCCATCAGAATACTGGCAGTGTAATATAGGAACTCGATCTCCATCGGGTACGTTTATACGGCACTGGCATAGAGTCTAGAAAATTAACCAGAAATATAAATGTAGTGTCCTTACCTGTCCTGAAAAATACATCGGAGCGGTCATGGTCGACTTTCGAATTTCTGGGACCTGGACACGCGAGTTGGATACCGCTAACCTTCATTATTTAGCGTTTCTTGTCGCGCGGAAAGCATGTGGTATTACCATGAATTAAGTGCTGCAATCGTGCTTGGGGCATTCATGGGGGTGAATAGTAGGCTAGGGACGCGGCTCGTACTCAAAAGCGGTGCTGTCCTTGTCCCTTATTGTGACATATGCAACATGGATCAGAAAGCCATCTCGAAGAGGGAAACGGTATGGGAAGTTATGGTAACACATGACCTGAACGTCCACCCGGCGAAGAAATACCGAACAGGCTTGATTTATGAAGACTAAAATCCACCGTGGAATAAGCTTGGAAAGAAAATTCTACCACCAATATGTGGTTGTACGTGGTACAGATGTGCATCCCTGCAACGCGGCGAGAAAGAAGATCAAACAAATGCGTACATTGTTGGTTCGGTATGTCCCATCTTTAGAGCACCCTGGTCTTCTCTGATTTTATGTGAAGTTACAGATATGAAACCTATCAGTCTGCAACGAGCTTGATGTTCTATACAACTGTCACTGTGTTGTCTGTGCTAGGAAACAGATCCTGCAATAAACGACTGTATAGGTGCGTGAAATAAATTGGTGCACATGCGTGTCCGGGATAGGGACGCTAGATTCTGAGATAGAGCTATGGTGGCTTCAAAGCTCTATATGGCAGGCCAGCCCAAAATAGGCCCCTGATACACCAGCTGAGAGCCCTCACTCGCGCTGTCAACCATGTCAATTCGCAGTGATTCAGCAGCAAGCTTTTTCGTAAGGGAGAAAACCAGAGCCAGAGTTGAAAGGGTGAGCGATAGCTCACAGTATAGTGGGAGTCTGAAGACTGTGAGTAGTTAGATGGGAGACGGAAATAAGACTTACAAGTAGCAATGGACCATTGTCGAACACTTATCAGGAAGAAGTCACGTCCATCTCTCAGTAGAAGTCTCAACCAACACCTGCATGACACAAATAAATACTGTGTCGCTCGAAGTCGTCTGAACCGATTCGTTCGTGCTCTAAGGAGACGCCCTAGCTGGTGGTAGTTGCAGTGAGATATAAATATCCAGAGATGCTGCAAAGTAGCGAACCTTTGAGGATAGTGCGGAGAATATGGAGGAAGAGTGTAGTTTGCACCCACAAAATCTTCTGACCTGGTATGCACCCGATTCAATGGGACTCTCGTGGCTCACCCCCCACAAGAATGTATGGACAAAGCACACCTGCACGAGCGACGTACAAACCAGGAGGCCTTCCACAGCAAGCATAACCAACTTTTGTCACACCCAAAATCAATGAAAAAGTCTGAAAGTAGTCAAAATGTTTAATTGCATTTTGGACCTACAAGACTTTATCAGAATAATGTATTTTTGTTAACATATTTCTACATATTAGAGTATATTTGCTGTGATATATATCAGCGTTTTTCATTAACAAGGTGGAAATTGAACACACCATTTGCCAAAGTGTTGCTGACGTGGATATGATTATAACTCCGCCGAATTATGCCAAGTGTACCGCCGCGCGCCCCAACTGCAATTATCAATGTTGGGCAACCCTTGAGCTCGTTGTTCGCGTTGATCGCATCCCTAGTGGATTCACGTCGAACGGGGGGACAAATACTTCACATGATGACGCCTCTTCCCTGTCACCGTCATCACAGACTTCTGCCTTAAGAGAGCTGGCTCTCCTGCTTCAAGATCCAACCCACTATGACTTCTCACCATGGCGACAACTACATGCCCTCTGAATTCAAAAACACACCTCCAGACCTTCTAGAGGAATACACCAGGACTCTTCCACCTGGCTCTGTTGACTATTTCTCGGCCTTTGGTGTTGGTGATGATACCAAGTTTGTCTATAGCCCTCATCCACCCACCCCGCCTACTCCTCCTTCTAATCCACTAGCTCTTTTCACTCTCGAGTCGCCTTCACCTACCGCAATACCTCCTGGCTCTCATTCGGAGCCCCCGGTGTCGATGATGAGAACTGCTGTTAGAAAACCACACACAAAAAACAAACTAACACACAATCCTCCCAGGTTCCACGGAACTTGTTTATGGGCTTTGCCTCCTAGAACAGTGGAGTGGTCTGGTTGTTTGTGGGGTGGTACGTATAAGGATCCTTCAAAGTAAAACCCAGAGATGTATGGGTGTGGGTTTTGAGGAGGAGGGATAGTTGAATTTATAGAAAGATAGGGGCTTAGTGATGAGTATAGATGAGCACTACCTTGCTAATAGTAGCACAAGGTAGGTTTGAGAATGACGAGATAACAAGTTTCCCAGTGATAGCAGGCTCCTGACGCACAAACTGTAGTGCTCAGAAGGACTCTAATCGAAAGGGATGACAATGACTTCAAAAATGGGAAGTGATGATGACAGCAGTTAACAGTGGTAGAAGTGGGAAGTGTTGTGACCACACTGGATCACAAGTAGCAGAGTAGTGAACTTGAGAGTAGAGAAGAAGTCTGGATTGGAGTTCTTATTTTATTATTATTTACAATATAAAATACAGGGGTTTATATAGTAAAAGAAAAGTAGGCTATGCACAGCATAGCTGTGCAAAAAGAATGAGAAAGAACATGAAGGAAGGAATGTATGCTGACAAATCCTGCGTAGGTAGTACAGGATAAGATTGTCAAAAAAGGAAAAGAAAGGGATAGAACAATGAATGCTGTGAGTAATGTCACAGGTTTGTACAGCCATAAAGTAAAGTCCAATAGCAAAAAGAGAGCAGGAAAATCATGATGTCATGGGAAGATGCATCAAAAAAAGGGCAAGGCAAAACACTATCAGTATCAACACAGTTCCTTTATTGTCAGTCAGGCATTCTAAAAAATATGTGTCCATAAAAATGATTCAAAAATCAAAAATAATCGCACTGTAAATGAATGTTCTGCTGAAAAAAAAGAAACTGGAGCCACCGGTCCACCACCTAGTCCAAATCCAACAGTTCCATGGCCTTACCAATGGACTGGTTGTGTTGGACCACCTGGTCAAACGAGGGAGGGAGAGGAGTAGTTCCAATTTGGAACAAGTGAGTCCCAGGCAGTGTGTGGTAGCTGTAGCTGTAGCGAAGACGATGGACAAAAGATAAGTGTACCCAAGTGAATGGGACAGCAATGAACATGGGCGACGCAAGGGGATGAACCTTCTCCAGTGCAAAAACTACCCACCCACGCTCCAACCAGGCAAGACGAGCGACCGATGTTTTGATAGTATATGATGGTAGATCGACTTCATAAAGATGGACCTGTTGCCCTATTTGGACCGGCCGCCGGGGCTTTGCTGATATCAGCAGTGGCACGTGGTAGTCAACGGATCGGCGACGGAAGCGGATAGGAAGTGGTGATATCAGAAATGGTGGGGGAGCAAAGAAGACGAGGAGGAGGAGGCTGGAGGTGACGAGGAGGTGAACTAAAATGGGGATCCAGAAACGACCGTCGGGTGAGAATAAAAACGAGAGTAAGGGACCCATGGTGGGGCTAGGCAAAGGAAGGGAAGTGAAGGAAACGACAAAAGCGAGGGCGCAATGCAATGTGTAGCCAGTGGCGACGCGAAAATTTGCCAAAATGCAGAAATGCAGAAAGTACCAAATGGAAAAGCAAAGGTGAGCGCGACTGGTTTGCCTAATAGAGGTGGTGCTGATCAGCCACAAGTTCAAAAAGGGCAATATTAATTACTATTCCACGTGGCACTGTGCCTGTGTGGCGCAAAGGCGAGTCTTTTTGAATATTTGCTTCGTTATTGACACCTGTCCATGCTACCAATCAACTTTGGTGCATGACAGCGGGGAGGAAGTCTAGCCGCACGTCAAAAAATCTCAGATTCAAGTACAAATGTGCTGACAAGTTGGGTGCTGTTGTCGATGGTGGACGAGATCGGGGCAATGAGCTGACTGGAAATGAATTGGTAGTGTTGGGAGAGTAGTGGTAGGTGTGCCGTAGCAATCTTGTGTCTATCGGGCATGGTGGTGGGCTGTTGTGGGTGAGCGAAGAATTACGCAGCCGCATGACTTGCCATTCGGCATGGTGGCTACTGCCGAGGGATATGGTACTAGGTGGGGCTTGATTCTGAACTCTACGCTTTCAATATATATCGCAGCAAATATACTCTATTCACACAAAAATATAGTATTCATGGGAATATGTCAACAAAAATACATCATTTTGTAGGTCCAAAATGCAATCAAATATTTCAGCTACTTTCAGACTTTTCCATCAATTATGAGTATGACAAAAGTTGGTTATGCTTGCTGTGTTCCCTATATGGGAATGTTATATAATCACATCTCATAACGGCCTAACCACGATATATGTGTTTTGCACTGAACTCCTTTCTCTGGCGTATCCATGAGAGTTTATATGTTCTTTGTCGATGGCCGATATCATTGATATCTCGTCTTCAGAGTCACCCCCTCAAAAGAAAATGCGAACGCGCCAGCGCTCATCCAAAGCCGTGAAACATCGACCACGGGAGCCACCACGCCCAACCTTTGCCACAGGGCCCAATATTATTGAAATCACTGACTCGGACGACGATGTCCCGCTCAAACGCGCCTTTAAGGGAAAACAAAGGGATGTTGCACCGGAAGTGGAGTCGTGGTCTGAAAATGCAGAAGCAGGGTCTTCCGGTGCTGAGGCGTTGTCATTTGGCTTACCGCATTCTAATTTGCTAGGAGATCCCGCTCTTCAAGCAGGGTCATCGTCGCCAGTGGCACAGACCACACCCATTAAGCCTGCTGGTATACCCCTTTTCTTACCCAGTCCCGGTGACGACGACGAAGAAGAAAATCCTCGGATTCAACCTGAGCCATCCTCGGGTTCCAAACCAGCAACGGCAGCCGAAGGTATATTGGTAGCGCCTCCCGTCCCTCCACATCCCATTCCTCCCGTACCTGAGAAGGACCCCATGGACGGATATATTGCTAGAGTGCTCGAAATTATACCCGATGTACAGCCAGCTCACGTGCTGTCGTTAGTTGAGAAATACATCCTCACTAAACCGGACAATATCGTGGAACTCATACTTCATTCGCTTTTTGAAGACCCTACATACCCCAAGATTGACAAGAAGGGCAAACGAAAAAGAAGTGAGGAAGATGAAGGTGGCGCCACACGAGGTTCACCCAAACTCAAGGTCGACTACGGACAGAAAGATAGAGAGTGTAAAGGTGGGCCGCATTATCTTGACATGGCATTGGTACGTATCTTTCTGAAGACACACTAAGAATCGAAGCATCAATGACTTAGTTTGCTGACTTTTGCTCGCCTATATCAAGGAGCAACTCCTGGTCGACTTCCCGTACATTCCCAAGCCTCACATTCGAATGCAACTTATCTATAATAACACCCTATATGCGCCTACTTATTTGTTTCTTGCCGAAGAGAAGAAAGGCGAGCGTTTGCCCTACATAGTCAAGACAGTGCCTTCTCGAATAAGTGGCAAAGGAAGAGCGAGACATGACCCCGAGTTCGAGCACGAAAGAGAATGGCTTCGACTTAAATTAGCGGACGATGCAGTTCAGAACGATGCTGCAGTCGCTGAACAGCTGAACGAAGACGAATGTGACGACGGTGGTGACGGTATTGAATGCGGATGCTGCTTTTCTTTATATGCATTTGTTCGTCTTCATCTGCATTCTACGCGAATATCGACTCACATCATATAATGTCCCAGGATAAGATGGTTCAATGTCCTGATGCTCATCTTTTCTGTAAGACGTGTATGACGTCGTATGCATCTACACTTCTAGGTGAACATAACCCCAAAATCGTCTGCATGGACCAGTCGGGTTGCAAGCTTGCGTTTCCGGACTCGGAACTACAACGTTTTCTCACACCTAAGCTCATGGAGCTGTACGAACGGGTAAAACAGCGCAAGGAGATAGAGGCGGCAGGCCTGGAAAACCTTGAGGAGTGTCCGTTCTGCGAATACAAAGTAGTCATCGATAACGAGCAGGAAAGACTGTTTCATTGTGACAACGCAGACTGCGGCGCGGTCAGCTGCAGAGAATGTAAAAAACTGGTGAGTGCAGTAGAATATTGATATAGATACGTCCTGGATTGAAGGTTGGCTGGCTCATAGGACCACCTACCAAAGAGCTGCAAGGGTATGTTGATCTATTTCCACAATCAAAGCGAAAAAAAAAAGCTCAAACATCGTGGTTTTAGAAATGGAAGAAGACAAACATTTGAATGCTCAGCACGCAGTTGAGGAGGCTATGAGTACGTGGTCAATCGAAGGTACTGCGACTAGCTTATTGATGCTACATTTTTTTCAGCTCGGGCCCTGATGCGAAACTGCCCCAAGTGCCAAAAAGGTTTGTACTCTCATTTCCTGGACACCAATACTGCAGTACTGAAAGCTCCCTTTTCGTGACCTAGGCTTCATCAAGGAAAACGGCGTATGTTTCGAATTTATGTTCATAATCATTACACTCAAACGGATGGAGCCAGTGCAATAAAATGACATGTCCTAATTGTCGTACTGTGTCGTGTTACATATGCCGTCAAATCATTCAAGGCTACGAGCATTTCGGAAACGTTCGTCTGTTTTTCTGATAATATACGTCATTACGAGCTTATCGTTTAATCTTATCATACTTAGCCTCCCCCTTATAGTGGTCGTGTTGACAAGAATAAATGTTCTCTCTGGGATCCTGTCGAACGGCGTCATGCAGAAGAGGTACTCTTTTTTCTCTCCCTGCACTCGCTCACCTTTTCACCATCTCGTTTTGGAAGGTTACCGAAGCTGCCAAACGCGCTATCGAAGAATACAAGCGAGAACATCCCGATGCAGACGAGAAAGACATCAAGGTCGACCTACCACCTCCCGCTCCCGCTGTACCCCAACCGCCGCCTATGCTAGGATTTGGAGCCGTACCCCATTTTCATCATATCGCCATGCCTCCTTTTCATCATGGACATCCCCAACCCGGACATCCCCACCCTGGTTTTGGCCAACACATGATGGCCCATGCTCGAGCTGTTGCAGCTGCGCGAGTTCGGGCGGCAAACGTATACGCGCCTGCAATTGAGGTAGATATAGGTATGGCTATGCGCAATCAGCAGAGACTAGTGCAGCGAGCCCCTCCCGTGTTACCCGCTATGCCGCGTAGACGTCGGAGGCGTGTAAAATAGTGAAAGTAATTGCAGGTGCAATTGCAGGCGACTCGTGGTTATTTATGGTTATGGTGATTATAATCTATTGTATTGAAAGGCCTTTTAGTATATCATGCATAATGTGTTAATTACCACAGGTTGACACAACTGACAATGTGGCGAGTACTAGTAGTTTCGTAGGTACTCTATGCTAAAGGCAAGCGAACACTTAGACCTCTTGGTCGTCGTTCTCGAGCATGGTCTCTTGTGGTTTGATCACTAGGTTTTGACCGCTAACTTTATTCAGCTGAAGTTCTATGTAGGCTTCTCTCCAGGCCCGTAAACCTCTAGGTAGGACACGAGGTATCATTGGTTTGAGCACACCATGCTCAAGATAACCCTCCATGGCTAACCAGAAATCTCTGCTTGAATGATACGTATACGTACTGCAACGATGTCTCGCCAGCAATGGATATGGCCACTTACCTTGAACTCTGGATAGATGTGGGAAGCACCTTGACAGCCCCACACTTCGACATGCTTCTTCAGAGCCACAGATGTCGTACTAGGATGGACTGACAAAGTGAGTACCAGTTTTGCACCAGGTTTCAGGATATGAACTCCTTGCGCTCGAGTGTCTTCCAGGGAGATTGCATCGATGACATACGGAACTTCGCCTCCAACCACGTTGATAGTATCCGAATTGACGGTCGACGAGTTGCGATCGATAGTGGTGGTCGCTCCTAGAGATATGAGATGTGTAAAATGGGCTGGAGATGATGTCGTGAAGATTTCGAATCCGAAGAGCACTGCCAGCTGGATAGCTAATGATAGAAACGCGTTGGCTCAGATATAGGGATGATGGTCCAAGATATCAGCCAACGGCGGAGCTTCCGCCGCGAACGACCAGTTTTTGGCCCTTGTAAAGGCCCCCTCTTGCAGACCAGGGAGGGGTGAGTCCTAAGCCTTGCAAATATAACGCCGCAGCTGCAGTCACGCAACCGAGTGGGATAAGTTGATACATGGTCGTAACCAAGGCTGTCTGGAATCTACAAAAAGCAACTTCATCAATCAGTGAGTCCTTTTTCAAAAAATACAATTTATGACCTTCGAGGCTAAATCAGCATCGGCTGTACAGTACTGTCGAAATCCTGCCTTGTCACCTTCGCTAGAATCGCCTTGAGAGTTGAGTTGGCCTTGAAAGAAAATTATATCTCCTATTTTGAACTTGTCGACGTCCGCTGCGACCTGGGTAACTTCTCCAGCGATATCTGTTCCAAATACAGTCTGGAACTCGGATACAAATGAAGCCGTGTACGTCAAGGAATGCTATAGAGTCTAATCATCCTGGCCAGATAGTTAGAGATGGGGGCTAAAGACTGGAAATCCACTTTCCAATCGACGGGGTTTACCGCCGCTAAGTGTATTTTGACCCGATCCCGCCCGGATAGGGGCTGTGGAATAAAGCGAGATTTGATGTGCTGCTTCGCGTTTGAAACCTTGGCTACAGGGAGAACGAGGGAAGGTGAGAACACGCTCTAGTACATATCTGAATAAGAACTCACACTCGTAGCCTAGTGCCAACTGAGACGGCACGACAAGTGATATTGTTGAGTGGAACTGATGAATTCGGGTTTCGGGGTGACAACACATGGATGCTGTCCAGCGAAGAATATAAGAAGAAAGGCTGAGATGCTTTGTAAATTCGTATGGTTACGCCTTTGCTTGGGGACTGCGAGCGATCCTTCTGAGTCAGCGTTGGGATCCGGGTAAGTGTCCATCGAGGGCAAGGATGCAATCCCGGCATCAGCGGATATTGATTCCTAAGTCGATCATTCAGAATGCTTCCACTTTTCTCCTTTGGTGGATGGGCGGCACTGAACTTGGCCTTCAAACTAGTACATTGCTATGCATATCTTGATACTAGGGGCCCTCCATCCCATTATAGAAGTGGTGCATCACGGACAACCCCGGGTTACAGAATTGGAAGGTAAGTCAACAAACTACCATGTCTGTCGTTGCACTCATGATGAGACGGGCAACTCGCCCTTCGCGCCCAATAGGCGCTGGACTAGTATATAAATCACAGAACAACGACACCTCGCCGCTAAACCGTAATTGTGCTCGTTGATATGGAACATCATGACCATGATCACCCAGCCCCTTCAGATCTCTCGCCATCGCAATTATCTCAACAGGTGCATAACAATGGCAGAGTAGAACGGAGCAATAATGCGACACCCACCGAGAGCGTGTCTCAGATGCCAAGAGATGGTACGAGGGACCCAAGAGTCAATGGCATCACGAGTAACCTTCCGGAAGACTTACCCCCTAATGATCCACCCAATCCTGGCCAACGCCTTTCTAATCCCGGTATCACACAAAGCAGTGCAGGCATCACATCGAGGGCTAGAATTCCGGCCACTACAGCGACCGTGACAGTGAACGGTCATTCAACATCAGCACTGCGTCCCTCACCTGCTACGCTCTCTGATAGTGTTCCCACCGTCCTACATTTTGGTCCCTCGACAAACCCCAGCGACATTTTGGAGGGGCTGGATGAATTTATCGACCAGACATTTCTCAGACAGGACGGTGAAGTCAATTTTGAACGAGATTTTGGTCAATGGTTCAACCCAGATGATGAGGAATTACATGTCACTAGGTGATCAAGCTACCATAATTCAAGACGATGTTCCCAGTTTGTTTCCGTTGCGGTGCCTTGTATTTTCGTTTCGCCCGAGTCTGCCGTGCCACGTATTAGATGATGACTTGTTTTCTGTGACATCTATTAAACACGGCTTCCACGCTATCTGCTCACCTTCTGATGATGATGTATTACATATTGTTTACGGGTACGGCGCCCTCTTGTGTACAGATATGACAGTGGCTGGGTTGTACGAGTTCTTTGGTTGCTTGCCAGTATGGTGGTGGTGTCCTTTGCTCAAACGGCTCCAGGATTACTTGTCCCACAGATAAGGTCAGTCCAAAGATAAGATAAAGGCCGCGGGAGATGAAATTAGATGAAAATGGGTGTGAGAGAATGGGGTGGTACTTTGTTTAGAAATCTGGCCGCTGTAGTGAGCGATCGTGGATTACTTTCTGCCGTTCTGCTTTATACTTTTACCCAGCTTTGCCCCGCCTGGACACTTGGACGGAGGAAAACTTTTTTGGACTGCAAAGTTTTCTTTTGATCGCCCTTGGTAACCGCGCGGACTTGACAACCTCGTGTTTTGGAGTACCACAGTTATATTAGACATGTGAGGCGTGCGGTCAAATCGCACTCGGGGCTGGTCAGTCCAAGCACATCATAACCGTTCAAACAAAAACAATGCACAATTGTCTACACATCGCTGAAATCCTCTCCATCATCTTCCACCACATTGGACATCAGGATAATGACTCCCGCAGAACACTTGCTGCGCTCACCAGGACTTGCCGCACCTTTCATGAACCCGCCATCGCAGTTCTGTGGGCCAATTTGGATGATCTATCGCCGCTGGTTAGATGCCTTCCGAGGGATCTGTGGATGATGACTTCTATGATGAGAGAAATTGTGCGTGTCCGACCCCTTTTCGTTCCTCGGCGTTAAACGTTTGTTGCAGACTCTCAAAAGACCCATGTGTGCAGAAGACTGGGTCATATTCCGAAGATATTCGCGCCGTGTTCAATGTCTATCTATTCAATCATCGCAAACAACCCTCAGGATCTACAACCCAATCGACCGACAGGTCATCCTCGCCCTTAGCCATCCACCCACCATTTTACCCCTGTTCCCTAATCTCCAACGGTTGGATTGCTTTGATTCTCGTGACGAAATATTATCGTTCGTACGGCTCGTATTTGGACCCAAAATCACTCATCTTTCGCTGTCCATACTGGAGCACGACATGTCACAGCTATCCCTACTTCCGTCAGTGGGGGTGCTATGCCCCTCTATCAGAAGCGTTAGGTTCAGGTTGCACGGAGCGTCCCTCTTTCAGTCCCAGGTCATGTCCGACGCGGTGTGCAAGTGGGATTCCATCGAAAAGCTCGATTGTGGACTGCTCAACGAAAAGGCCCTAATACACCTCGCGGGCCTGGATTCACTGCGGTCTTTATCCTGCACGGTTTCCCAGCTAATCTCTTATCCTAATTCTATAGGACACGGCTGCAATCCCACGTTCCCTAATCTCGAAGACCTGTCGCTTACGTCGGTGGATTCTTTCGTTTCCTTTTCTAGCTTCTTCCGGAGTATACGGTCGCTGCCAAAGAAATTGCAGTTCTATCTTGACGAAGAATTTCCCTCTGACGAGCTTCGTGATCTATTGGCTACGCTATCCACTAAATCTTCACACGACAACTTGCAAATTATCCACATAGAAGAGCTGATGGAACTTATGTCGCCGCGGCTTCACAGTACCATCACCATCGACACGCTCAGACCTCTCTTATCGTTCTCTCGGTTACAACTGGTTTTTATAGACACACTCTGCCCCATATCACTCGACGATGCTGCACTGACGGAAATGGCAGCAGCGTGGCCAAATCTCGGGACTTTATCTCTCAATACAGACCACGGCTGCCGAAGCCAGTCCCACGTCACCTTCAAAGGTCTCATATCCTTACTGAAGCTTTGTCCAAAACTCCACACCCTGTCGATGGTCGTTGATACAACGATACTCGACTTGCCAAAGTCTGGTCGGCCTGGAGGAGGTGTGTGTAATCGGAATATCACTGAGCTGACTTTGAGCGACTCGAAAATCGAAGACTCCATAAAAGTGGCTTCTATCTTATCCGATATCTTGCCCTGCGTAAAGGAGATATGTGCGTGGAGTTCGGAAACGCTTTTTTCTCTGCCTGAAGCGGAGGGGTATATACTGAAGTGGGAAGAAGTTGGCAAACTGCTTCGTGCTTTCGCGTCTGTGCGAGAGGAGGAAAGAGCATGGAAGGAGGATCGGAGCGTAGTAGGCGAGGTAGGGGTTTGAGAGCTCAACGCATTGGCAAGATCTTTGGATTGTCTTTTCACCTTTTTTTTTCCACATTTCACGACACCAAGCATGAAACACATTGTGTAATTTACAGCATTTACCTATTTGGACAATATACAATACGCACCTTCAGCTTCAGAGAAACACTGATAATCAGAACGATTGATAGGCGAGTGCATAATCATACTTTTGCATTGTAAGATCATAGAAGATGAATACTTAAGGCTACATGCGAAAGCCAACCATCATTTTCCACACGAAGCGCAACCCTATCACACCCATGACCAGTATCTCCATATAACAACACACTCATGCAATGAGGGTCGAGGCGGTCGACGAGTCGTATTTGAAGGTGGGGGGAATCTGCTGCTTGGTCTTGTAGTAGCGAGCAAGACGGTGGATACGGGACTCGATCAAGATGAGACGGAATTTAGAGTCCTTGTCCTTGCGGTTGACCTCAAGATGCTTGCGCACGGCCACCGCCTTTTTGACGAGGTGCCAAAGGTCCTCTGGGATGGATGGTGCCAATCCTATCCCCAAACAAAAGGCATATGAAGCAACAAGAAACCCAAATCAAAGTCGGAAGAAGAGTGTGATAGCCACGGCGCATGAATAGAAACGAAGGGAGGGATAAGATAAACACACGCACCTTGAGATTTGAGGATACGGAGGATTTTGTTTCCGGTGACGAAGCGCACTTGGGGGATACCGTGCGAGTCACGGAGGGTGACACCGATCTGGGAAGGGGTAAGACCCTTACGAGCCAGCTTGATGATGTGCTCTACGACATCGTCAGACGATGTCTTGAGCCAGGAAGGAGGAGAGCGCTTGTAAGGAAGGGCGGAGGACGCTGGGCAATGATATCAGTCCATGGAAACATATCATGCTTTTTGCAATAAAACATACAAATGCCCTTTCCGGGAGCGTGCATGCGACCCATGGTGATTTCTACGAGAATTTCTAATTAGTAAAAGCGTAGCATTATATCTCTTCAATGTGACACCTACAGATTTGGGGGATGGGACAAAGGTCTTGAGGATGTTTTGTCGCTGGGGCCGTTGGACGCGTTGAGGATCGAGGGAACCTTCGGTGGCGCAAGCCAAAACAGAATTGTGGCTGAACCGGCTATACAGTTGCAAACCTTATTTGGATCCCAGCCACAGGTCTCGAAAATGTGCGCGTGTTTATACAAGCCTGAAAGGCACCTCAGCAAGATCAAGACCATTCAACGTCGTTACCGCCGACGGTGACTAGGCCCATTTTCATTATCCAAGGTTCGTTCTAGTGCTGCAGTATTGAAAATAGCAGCAAGCCTGACATATTTTCTTTTCGTTGCAGTATGAAATTCAACATCGCCAGTGCGTTCATGCGTTCATCTACAGTTTATATATGCGCCAGTACTGACCATGTCATCCAGACCCCGCAACTGGGGCCCAAAAAACCATCGATCTTGATGATGAGAGGAGATAGTAAGAGCTTTGTTGATTTTCTATTACGTCCTTCGTTGACTTGCTGGTTTCTGTTAGCCGTATCTTCTACGACAAGAAAATCGCTCAGGAAGTTCCAGCAGACAGCTTGGGGGATGAGTGGAAGGGTTACATTTTCCGCATCACTGGCGGTAACGACAAGCAAGGTTTCCCCATGAAGCAGGGTGTCCTCCTGCCTTATCGTGTCAAACTTCTCCTCGCCGACGGCCACTCCTGCTACCGCGCTCGCCGCACTGGAGAGAGGAAGCGCAAATCCGTTCGTGGTTGCATCATTGGTCCCGATATCGCTGTTCTCTCTGTCGTCATCATCAAGCAGGGTGAGAACGATATTCCCGGACTGACGGACAACGTTCTGCCCAAGAGGCTCGGTCCCAAGAGGGCCACGAAGATAAGGAAGTTCTTCAACTTGACGAAGGAGGATGATGTCAGGAAGTACGTTGTCAGGCGTGAGGTCACGAGTTCCAAGAAGGAAGGCGCGAAGCCCTACACAAAGGCGTGAGTAATCTATCCCTCTGCAAGAGAATCGATGACGCTCAATTTCATTGCTCGTTAGTCCTAAAATCCAGAGACTGGTTACTCCCGTTCGTCTTCAACGCCGCCGTCACTTGCGTTCCCTCAACCGCCGCCGGATCGAGCGTCAAAAGGAGCAGAAGACTGAATTCGAGTTAGTATTTATGCACATATATGTTATCTCTCTATTACTGATGATTCTTAAAGCACGCTTATGCAGAAGCGTGTGGCCGAGAAGAAGGCCAAGGTTGCTGCTGTCAAGGCTTCGCACCACAAGTAAGCTGCTTCAAATCATACTTCAAATATCATGCGACCTCAACCATGTTTAAAGGACCGCTTAAAATGCTTCGGCAACTTCTTCGGATTTTTCAGCATTTTTCATGTTGTTTTTGCTTCATATGGTACTTCATGTCGCGTCATGCCCTCACCTTACCAATATCTCATATTATGCATGAACCGTATGATAAAGTCTATTGAAGCGAATTCTTTGATAACTGTAAGGATGGGTTCAAATGGGGTACGTTCTAGTTGACATGATGAATACTGAAAGCTATTCGAATGCAGTGATAATGGTACAAATGTATAACATCTAACTATGCCCACATGGCACGGTATTTTTCGTCGAACTCCTTGAGTGCTTCGTTCACAACTTCGTAAACCCTCCAATCTTTGTCTGTGACTCCTTTTGGCCTCTTGAAATCGGATAGGGTGGCTCCTTCACTCGCATCTAGTGTATCAGCGGGGTCAAACGATCCGTAACCGCTATCAAGGTCGACATCAGGGTCCTCCACAGCTGCTTCCTTCGACGCACGCTCCAAGAGTTGCTCGAGCACTCCTCGAACAGTCATCAGCACAAGGAAGAAGTCTTGTAAGAGATACCATATATCGCCTCGTCTGATACCATTTGCCTTGCTGAGAGCAGCAGTCTGCCCGTGGATGTAAAAGTCGAGTAAGTAGGCGTTTAGACCAAAGTGGCTGTCCGATGGTCCAGAAATGGCCGTGATATGACTGAATGAGGGGATAGCATGCTCGTTAAGATGAAGGCCTTGGCGAGCCGTGCGTGCAAGTTCTTGCACGGTCTGGAATTCATCTCCATGCCCAGAGTTTGCTACGAAAAGCGAACGAGCGGTGACAGGGATGCTGGTATCCCTCAAGTATGTACGGAAAGGTGTATCATCATCTCCAGAATTATCTGCCACGACTGGTCCACTTAAGGGTAGCTGGGAGTCCGATCCAAGTTTGTCGTGATGCTGAGAACCATATGTGAGCGCATAACCAACGAAAACGCGTAGAGTTTCTTGATCGTGCTCATTCAAGACTTGGCGAGCCTTCTTGTGAAGAGGAGGAAGCAGGACCATAGATGGTGACTTTTTGATGAGAAGAGCAACATTCTCGTCCGTGGTGTACGTTTTCGGTAAGTAGCGACGGCCAAATAGGTGGCACATGAGCAAAATGAAGTCCTTTTTAGCGTTTATCATGCTCGACTGGGCACATATTTTGTGCAGCACACCGTTTCGAAGTAGAGAGACAAGAGCAAGATTACTGGGTTCGGTGTAATACAGATGAGCAGCAATCCCAAAGAGGTTGAGTGGCTTCCCGCTATCGTCCAGCAAGTGAGCACGACGAAGATAGTCAATGCTGAAGCGCAAATGATGAAGGAGTTGGTGGCGACCTGCATCGGATCCAAAGCTAATGTGTGGCAATCGCATGAGGCCTTGCACGGCCTGTACTGCAGTTGGCGCGTAGTCGGAACCCTCAAGTAAGTTGAATAGCCGCAAGCTAAGGGTCGACGTCAGAGGGAAATTACCACCAAGGGAAGGAAGTTTAGAGAGTATCAGACGCTGCACCCGATCCATCGGAAGACCGTAGAAGACTACCTTCCCTAGGAGATCGAACCCACGGCGACCAGCACGACCAGCACATTGACGGTACTACACAATACTTATTACTTCAAACTCCCACATGAACGAATGGACGACATACCATCAGAGCAGTTAAGAATGGGGAGTCTCCACAAAATACCGACGTTTTTGCTGGTGCGTTGATACCAAGTGCCAAAGTGCCTATACAAGTATTAGAATACCAGAAACAAATGAACTAGTGTCTGCAAGACACACCAGTTGCGATCACAACACGCAAGAAACCTTGTCGGAACAAACTGAACATAATGTGTCAACATGCAGCGATTATGGGCCAAAAAAGATACTTACCTCTCAACTAGAGTCCTATACCGCTTGTTCATACCCGCATGATGAACAGCTATCCCTCTCCTAAGGCACTGTAGGGCCCACTCCGGGGCAGAGTTCCACCTCGACATTCCTCTGATATCGTCATTGAGGTCACTCTTGGAATAGGATGTGTGCTGTCCAGCAAACGAAAACTGTGGTTCAGGGTCTTCAGGATCGAAAGATGATTGCCAGGATCGCTCAGTTGTATCCATAGAATCAGGGGCATCGGGGTCTTTCTTGACTTTCTTCGCTTTCTCTGCTTGCCGTTCGCGGTCTTTAGCACGAGCTAACCAATTTTCCCACTCGGCCATTTTGCGCTTGTGTTCCGCACTGGTGGAACGCCATCGTCCTTCCTTCTGTTGAAGGGCCTCCAAAAGATCCTGAGCCATGATTTCACAGTCCGTTCTGTCAAAGGAGAAGAGGATGGCAGGCTACGACAGAACATATGAGAATGATAGTCATAAAAGTCTCTTGAACTTACAAGGTCATTTTGTGCGTGCAAGTCGCATACCAGCCTGATTAGATTGCGCCGGTAGAGCAACCTGTCTGGTTTAGCATTCAAGGCGTCACTAGACAGGCTCGATAAACGGCTATCCTCCAGAGAGTGGATAACGCGAGACAAAGGCGATGATTTATCTCTCGGGTCAGACGTCGCTATCAAGGTCGATAACACTGCCTTCAAATCGGCCTCATAGTTGATTACATCAATTTGTTGCAGAAGCCTGTTGGAAGGGAAATAACGACCAGGTTCCAAAGACCCCAAATCACTCGATATTACGTCGCGACAGGACATCAGTGCTTCGTATAATGCCAGAGTATCTGAAGCCTCTAAGGAAAGGTCCGGAGGTAGAGACCGCGTGCCAAAGGAAAGTGTAGTGACTGGATGGAGAAACCTGAGGCGTTCGGTGGAGCGATAAGAATCAAGACCTTGAAAGGTGTCGCGGGGCTCATATTGAAGGGCGTAGAAGAATTTTCGCAGATGCGAGTATCGATGAGGATGGTGAATAAACCTGTGCTTGAAACCGCGAGTTTCTTGTACGGATTGGAGCCATTTATTGAACAGCTCAGGCGAACCAACAGTAGCGGAGAGACCACTGCAAACAAGATAGAATGAGCACAAGCGGGTAAATGTGAACATTGAGCTCATACATAATGGGACAGGGTGCTAATAGCAAAATTTGCTCCCAGACGGCACCACCTTCTTGTTGCCCAATGGAGTGAATTTCATCGAGAATAATCCTGACAGCAATAATTCAAGGACTCGAAGAACTGGCTAGATAAACGACTACAAAACGTACCGTTTGATTCGCGGTGTCCAAAGTTTTGCCAAAGGCGGAGATAGAATCATGGTAGCCAAAATTTCTGGTACGGTTATGAGAATTTGACAATTTTGAGGGTCATGGACTCGATAGTCCCGCGTATGAATGGCCCAGCAGCTCCCTGAGAAAGAATATTTAGAATCTATCGCAGTCAAAAGTGAAACAACTTACGTCCATTCAAGTCCTTACTGAAACGAGCATAAACTTCAGCAGCAATTTGAGCAACAAGAGCTTTAGTTGGGGCAACGTAAACCAAGATGCCATTGTCCGAATCCCTCAAGACTTTTTCCATAGCGTAATAGGAAATGAAAGTCTTTCCTGCACTAGTAGGAGCTGGATACTAGAGGTGAGAATGCGGCAAATAAGCATTTGCGGGCATGACTTACCAACGACGAGTAGGGATACATTCTGATCAACGCAGTCAAGGACCTCACGTTGCCATGCGTCAGGTTTGAAAGCTACACGCTTATCTTCCTGGCTGTCCATACTCCTATCCATAAACTCTCCGAACAGCCGCAATTGCCAGGTTATGGGATGTTCCTGTATATGCATGAACTCATGTAACGGAGCTTTCGTCTTGGATTTGAGGAGTTTGATGAATTTGAAAGATAAACGCTGTTCATCTTTCAGGTCAGCTGAGCTGCCTACAGCTTCAAGATAGTCGGACAGTCCTAGGGAGATAAGAACGCTGGTCAGACATTTAACTACTTCACTCGTCGCATGCCCTATTTCGATAGCCTCTTTGACAATACGCATGATAGCGACTGTATATTTATCTCGTGTAGTAGCTGATTCTCGTCCTTGTTCATCAATCCACAAGGACAGGAGCAGATGGATTTGATATAGACGGATCTCTGCCGCGAGAGCAGGTTCTCTGCTCCTGGGATTCCGGTATAAAGTTTGAACATTTTGGGCCTGAGTGGAAACCGAAAGTTTGCCGAGTTCTGCCAGTCGACCAACCCACCACTGGACGGAATCAGCCCCTTGTTTCTGGGTCTTCTTATCCGTGTTTTGTTTTCGAATCTCTTCCGCTTTCGAGAGCGGTTTTGCTTTTCCTGCCTTGACCTTTGGGGCCTGAGAAGGCTTTTGCTGAGAAGAGTCAGACGAAGCAAGAGAAAATGAAATGACACTGCGAACTGACTTTTGTAACAGGCTGCGCTACACGAGAGCCAACGGGAGGAATCTTGATTTGCTCGAGGGCAGCTCCCGAAGCTCCTGTGAGGGTACCAGCCTGATTCTGAAGATTCTTCATGAAACGCTGGTCAGAACGCAACTTTCGTTGTCGTTGCCTCTCATCCGTGGGCCTGGCATCCTCTCCACCGAGATGCTTCGGCAGGATTGCCTTGCGATGATTGTGCCAGTGTTGTGTGTCAGCAAAAAGTGTCCCTAGACTGAAATGTGAGGGAGTAGACTCGTCTTCGTCATCGCTTTCATCTTCATCCTCGGCAGCTACATGCACTACTGACAGCTCGGCATCGAATACAGGATTGCTGAATGGGAGGAGCTTTACGGGCTTTGACGTTGAAGAAACCTGCAGTTTTGTGGAAAGAGAGGAGATTTGAGAGGCAAGAGTAGAAAAATTAGGACTACGAAGTTTGAGATCTGCCCATATTGCCTCCACAGATTGAGAGATAACAGAGCCGACGAGATCTCGTAGTTGTTTTCCGTCATTCCGCACAAGGAAACAAAGAAGAGCAATAAAAACTCTGCCGTCGACATCGATGTCAGGGTTCAAGCTAGTAATAACGTCCTCAGCTGCGAAGAAAGCTCGTGGCAAAAATGACTGTGTCAACATCTTGACTAGTTTGGGGCTTATGGCCTCCACACGTCGGGCTCTCTCATGTGGCGTTAAAGTCTTCAGGAGAAGACAATGGGCTATAAATATGAAGAGCAACTCGTGGTTCGCGTTGGAATCGGAAGACAGGTAGACCTTGGCTAGCTTAGTAAGACTCGCTTCGATAGTGATCATCTCTTGACTTCTAGGTGTACAGAGAAGTTGAGTCTGGGAGGTGCGAGCATCGAATGCTGCTTCATCAAGAGCTTTAAGGCTCGCAGAATGGGCATCAGAGACAGAGGGTCCTTTAGCTAAGGATTCACGCTGTGATTCGTAGACGAAGGACGAGATCTGTATCAAGAACAATCGTTAGCAATGGTAATATATGATGACAACAATGATCTCACCCTTGAATCCCGGAACTCTGCTCCTCGTAGAAGTGTCACTGCTATGCCACTGGCCAGAAGATCAAGTAAGAAGACACGCTGACATAAGATCCTCTCTGCCGCCAGGCTGTCAATGTCTTTGGTTTCAAGCAGTCCACCATCGTTCATCATGACAAACATAGGCTATATGCTATATGTCAGTATCTTACACATATGCAAGCGGGGTTGGCCTCACCTTGGTCATGAAACAATATTCGAGCCACTTCGGGTCAGAGAGACTTTCAAATGTATGCACTCGAAATTCAAGTTTATGCAGATGCTTGAAAAGTAGTCTCCGCGCAAGAGTGCGAGATGCAAAAACAAACTGAGAACTGCCTGTCTGTAGCGTGAGGTGCTTATTCTCTGCGATTCCAGCTCTTCCGTTAGCCGGCTTGTTCGGAGGTTCATATATGCGGGGAATACGAACCTTCCCAAAACACGATATCGAAAACAGCTGAACGAGTTGTGAAATCGTTCAAAATGCGTTCCAGAGAATGTATAGCATGTAAAATCTGGAAACTAGGCTCTGTTACGATAGGGGAATCATTAATTGACCAATACTGCATTGCTGAGCGTTACTGACCATTTTGACGTGCGATAGCAAGAAGAGGATCGTCCAGAACAAGTTGAAGCAGTGATTCACCTTGAAATTCGGTCAACGTTAGAAGTTCCTCAGAGTTCAGATGAAATCGTGCGATACCATCAATCACAAACGGTTCACTTCCTGCATAATCACCCAGGAGATCCATCCACCTGGCTCTCCTACTCGTATCGACGTACCATTGTGAATCAACATGTTTCAGTGCCTGCTCGGCCGACAGAGATTTTGATTGAACATCGTCGCTGGATCGCAATTCTTCAGCAAATTTATCAAACTCCTCTAAATCCATGACTGGAGAAGTTGCTAGTGATATAAATCCGGGTCAGGATTACTTAGAAAAGTCTTCGTGGTTTTGGCTTCAAATATACTCGGCAAACTGCCTCGAGGTAACCTCACGAACGCGCTAAGATACTAGAACCCTTCACAACGCCCCAGGCGCTCACGAATTCGCGGGATCTGCAGGCTGAACTGAGATTGATCTTTCCTACAGCGGAAATCTACTTACCTGGCTGATGTTGATAAAAACGAATCTTTGGATCCCCTGCAAGCACGATGGTTGGATCCAAGAGGTGCACAATGGAAAGTTTGGCCGTCTCGGACATCGCCCGGCCCATTTACATTGAATATCAAGAAACACGGTTGCATTGCTTTGTTTGTAGGTGTCCGTGTTCATCCAAATTCGTATCGCTGTATGAGAATTGTAACTCCAAAGTTACTTGAAAACATTGCAATAGCGCAGCAAAAGTTGTTTCTAGGTATCAGGAAACTCGCTTTATTCGACATTATGTGCTTGTGGTACAGACATGGTCAGGAGATTCCGCCTGCCCTCGCCAGCATTTCCTTAACAAGTGCGGCATTTTCCAGACCAATTGAAAGTGAGAGAAACGGCGTTCATATTGACCCAACCATCATGATTTAGTTGTCATTTGCGACCTCTATTACTTCACAGCATATATAGCAAATGCTGAAGCTAAAGGCAAGGTTGGATCCGGAAGATGGTCGTGAAGCACTAGTAGGTTTCTCAAGTTTATAATCGCACACTTCACACTTGCGACATTAACCCAGCCTAAAAAGTACATCATCTCAACTACTTTTTTCGTTCGACCCCATAGAAAGCACTCCAATGGATATCGGCTTGTCACCTGCTCGTCCATGCTCTATTTTAGAACAACGCTCGGGGAAACCCCACCCCTACCTCTCGATGATATGAACGGCTGCATATTGGGGAGACTACAAGCTTTATGATCAGCGCATGTCCTCTTGTGCTGACTCTCAAGATCAACTGTCCTATGTCTTGTGCTGCACCTTTGCGAAATATCGGTGCAATGCTACTCGCTGTCAGTGTTTTCCCTCCGAGTCAATGTAAGACCCGGAAAACCGCCCAACTCCAGTGGTCGGACCGGTCGGACCGCGCTATCTACCCATTCCGCACATGAACAGTACATAAAGGCTGAGACTGATAGATACGAACTCTCGAGATCGAAACCCACTGCCTTCCCAGCAAATATCTAGTCCAGTTTCTCCATGTCAGTACCGCTTATCAAACTCAATAATGGTGTTGAAATTCCTGGAGTAGGCCTGGGTGAGTCGCATCTGGTACTATACACTGAATCGTTCCTCACCAATTTTTCATTTGATGTAGGAACTTGGCAATCAAAGCCGCATGAAGTCGCCCGTGCGGTGGAAGTAGCCCTTAGGTGTGGTTACAGACACATTGATTGTGCTTGGTAAGTGCATGCCCCACAGCTCACTTACATTAGCTATACTAAATACAAATCTACAGGGCTTATGGGAACGAAAAGGAAGTAGGAGAGGGCCTTCGGGCTTCTGGCGTACCGAGGTCCGAAGTATTTGTAAGTCCATGTTGGATTCAAACTTAACGTCCAGATTTATTATGAAATAAACTTCTTTTCGATAGATCACTAGCAAGCTCTGGTGTACATATCACTATCGTGTAGAGGAATGTCTTGATCAGACACTCGCGAACTTGGGAACTGACTACCTCGACCGTAAGTTACGACGTATTTACTTCGTCTTCTTCTAACTTTCTTATCTGGTTGTAGTCTACCTTATCCATTGGCCCGTGGCTTTGAACCAGAACGGGAACCACCCTGTATTTCCAACTCGTCCTAATGGTAACCGTGATGTCGACGAGTCAAGGCAGCTCAAGGATACCTGGAAATTGATGGAAGATGTAGCGAAGAAAGGTATCGCAACTTCTATGTTCTATGTTTATAAGCCATTGACCAGTCCCATCTGTCATCAGGCAAAGTTAGGGCTATCGGTGCATCGAACTTTTCTCAAAAGAAACTTGAAGAAATTCTGCCTACTGCAGAAATTGTGCCAGCTGTTAATCAAGTAAGTTACTCGCTACCTCGGAAGCCTCTTGTTTGACGTACAATAATTCTGTCTTGTAGTTGGAGATGCATCTTTACAATCCACAGTTAAAACTCGTCGAGTACCTGAAGTCGAAGGGCATCGTTCCACAGGCTTATTCACCTCTCGGATCTACAAATTCACCTTTGTTGAATGATGAAGTCGCAACTGGGATAGCCAACAAGTATTCAATGAAAACTACGGACGTGCTCCTTGGATACCTGCGTTCGTATATCTCCTTTACGTTCACACCTATAGAATTGACGAGGTACTTCTTCAGTCGCCAAGGATATCGTTGTCCTTCCGAAATCTGTCACGCCTTCTCGCGTCGAGGCGAATTTCGAGGGTGTCATTGCTGCTTATGGAAAATTGACGGCGGAGGATGTTGCGACGCTCGACGGTGTGGCTGCCAGTGGGAAACAGAAGAGGTTCGTGAATGGTTTTGACCTCTGGAACATGAAGATTAACCTTCTAACTACTTGCATTCTAGGCTGATCACGCCTCCATGGGGTATGTAGTCGTGTCGTGGTTATTGTAGTCTGTCTACTGATCTATTTTCATAGGTGTCGACCTTGGTTTTGATAACTGGCCGTGAAACACATATGGTGTCAAAGTTGTAACTTCGGGGACTTGTAGCAGAATATTAATGTATTATTTTTTTGGGTGAGCCATAACTTGCGACTAGGTGATCAACGACAGTCAAAATTCTGAGACTGAAGTCCTGAAAATCTGTGAAACTTTGAAGGCAGGGTAAGCGGCTTAAACTTCAACATGGTCGACAGGGGCAGTTTGAGCCTGGAATGTTGACCTGTTCTTGAAACGAATTGAAACACATGCCTTTCTATAACCGTCGGCAGCTTGGCTCCAGCATGTGAATGTGATATCGATTGCTTCCAGGGAGGTCAATGTATAAATGCCATGGTGATAGCTTTCGGATCTCAGACAGTTGAATGGCTGTCAACATGTCTACCGTACTTATCTTAGAGGCACCTTAAACTCTCGTAAACTTCACTCGAAATTTGAAGGGAAGCCACGAGGTTCTGGAGTTCTGGGAGACTAAGCTTAGAAACGCATGGCGACATGTGGCGAGCGCCTGGATGAAACATCCATAAGGACCCTGGCGGTGCATTGGCGTAAGATGAATGGATACAGGTCACTAGTAAGGGAATTCGTATCTCCCTAGTATAATCCGTCGGATAATACAGTCTGACTCTGTCGTCGCTCAGTCAAACACGGCGCTCCGAGTCGCTCTCTCTTCAACCTGGACCCACGGAACGGCAGACCTTGTCCATTTGGGCCAGCCCTCAGCCCAGGGAAAAAAAAATTCCAGACAGATTCCGATTGACCGAATAGCTTGACTGCTAGTTCTAAGAAGGCTTGGAACGTACACACATTTGTACACCTGATCCTCAGGCTCGCCGTGCTACATTTCGAGAGTCAGAGTTATTATGGAAGTGGCCTTTTGTGGGTAACTATTCGACAGTGTGGACCACAGTGCAACCGTTTGTTTACTTGCCAACTGTAAAGAAATGACTGGTACTTAGATCCACTGCTGGCGGTGACCATGGGTGGATAAACCTGGGAAACTCTAAAGCTTATATATGGCGTTGCAGCCGTTGCTAGAGCTGAATGGGTCTCAGGGAGGACTGGTCGCGGAAAGGTTGCGTGGCTTCCATGTGAGCTAGCACGTGTTCTTGTACCTGATCGGGAACCACTCACTGCAAAGGTAAGCGTGAGATCCATGGGTACCGTAAAATTTCCTGCTAAATCTTTCTTGTCTCCAGTGCCGCCATCATGGCACGGAAGTTTGCTTTTTGCCAATTGACGGCGTCTGTGGAAACTTATTGGAGTGTGATTGCTTGCGCGAAAAGACCGTGTGGTAGCCTTGGTCATCTTCACAGCTTTCCAGCATATTTAAGGTCGAGATGACTCGCTACAGCTTTTCATAACTTATCATCCAGTTTTCGTGGCTTTCGCTCTCACTTATACTAACCCAGATATCTGGAAAATGACCGTTTCTTTCCAAAATGGACGCGATTTGGATAACACATCCGACGCTGTTGACGATGGTAAGTCATGCTACTATATGTTCACATGTAGGGCGGAACTGACCGCTTGATATCAAGTCAACGTTTTGAAGGGCAAGATGTGGGATGAAGAGTCGGAATTCGATACATCCAAAGACAAGACCAAGTTCAGACAATATGAAGATGCTTGTGACCGCGTCAAAGCCTTCTACAAGGAACAACATGGTTCGTTATGCAGTAATGTTCTCGACCTGTAGTCGAGTCTTACTTTTACAACAGAAAAGCAAACCGTCGAGTTTAACTTGAAAGCTCGCGTGGATTTCAAAAGTCGAAAGCGCGCTCACATGGGTATTTGGGAGGCTATGGAGATGCTGAACAATCTTGTTGATGACTCTGATCCTGATGTGGGCGCCATTTTACTTGTGTTTCATCGTGTTTCATTAATTCCTGTGCTACAGACCAGTGTATCTCAAATCGAACACCTCCTTCAAACAGCTGAAGCTATCCGTAGGGACGGGAAACCCGAGTGGATGCAGGTAAAAATTTCCGCATATAATCAGGAACGTGCTTTTCATTAACCGGTCGTATTATAACTGTAGGTCACAGGTCTTATTCATGATCTTGGCAAGTTGCTCTATATGTTTGGATCGGAAGGCCAATGGGACGTAGTCGGTGTAAGCCTATTGATTTATTTGTGTTTTTCACTTCAACTCACACAATAATCAGGACACTTTCGTCGTTGGTTGCCAATTCTCTGAGAAGATTATCTACCCCGAAACGTTTGCTGCCAATCCCGACTCTAAGGATGCTGTCTTCTCAACTCGATATGGTATCTACAAGCCTTATTGTGGTCTGGATAACGTAATGTTATCTTGGGGTCACGACGAGGTGAGATGTTTCGTACATGTTATGGGTTATCGATGCTGAAACTGTATCAAATAGTATTTGTATCACGTGGTTAAGGACCAGAGCTCGCTTCCGGAAGAGGCTCTGGCCATGATTCGATACCACAGCTTCTACCCGTAAGTCTGTGTGTCGAGTGTGTTTGTTTTCACGCTTACAGTTGCATAGGTGGCATCGCGAGGACGCGTACACGTACCTCACAAACGAAAAGGACCAAAAAGCTCTGGAAGCTGTCCGTGCCTTCAACCCGTACGATCTTTACAGCAAGAATGACGAGCCATGCAATGCTGCGAAGTTGAGGCCATACTACGAGAGCTTGATTGCCAAGTTCTTCCCTCCCACGATTGACTGGTAATCTGGTCATTGCCTGATTCCTACACTAATTGTTTTACACCGCTACATTCTACACTACTACTACATCGCCTCCATCGCTATCTTAATAACCTAATTATTGCCATGTTTGCTACTATAGGTCCACTTGTCATGTCTCTCGCACGACTGTTTCGATATAGTTTTCTCGTTGTTGTATCGTACTTGTTTTTGCTTGCTATAGCTTCGTGTTATCTATATAATATATTACTATGAGTCTCTTTTAGTTTTTTGCTCAGTGATCATAGATAAGATAAGATCTAGCCTCATCCGAGTTTCCGCTCCGAGACTCCGCATCTCTGAAAATACTTTGTAGGTTCTACGAACGTTCGCAAGCAACACTGAACTGCTGGAACGCCGATTGTTGCCCTTCATCCCGTCCACGTACCACAGAGACCATTCTGAACATTTTAGCACCTGTAGATCATGGCCGCAATACCAGTAAGCACTTTGCCTTACCCGCCCGTCCACCAAGACAAGAAATTCGTTGTACTCTCCGATTGGTTGGTCCGCGTCGCTTAACAATCGGTATTCCCTTGTGCAACTGAAGTTGACTTTCTTGGTTTGTGATTTTGTTTGATCGTGCATGATCGTATGTCGTATATAGGGACGGGACCATCACGAACTACGATTCGAATGATTGTAAGTAGATTCATTTCAGGGCTATGGTGCAAGGGACGATTACTAGGCTTGGGATGTTGAACATTCATGATAGATATGACCGATAATCTGGGGTATGGCAAAGATAAGAGACGAGCTGGTAACAAGGATATCCTAGACGGAAGGATCACTTTCAGGTGCGCTAGTACGCTAATTTGGCTTCATAAACTCTCAGCGGTACACATTATATTACAGGGACGCATTTCGGGAGATGCTCGAAAGCGTCGTCGCCAACGGCCACACTATGGACGAATGTAAAGAGGTCTTGAAGAAGAGTTCGTTACATTCAAAACTATGATGGATAAGTATCTCACTTGAGGGCCCTCTGTAGACATCAAGCTCGATCCTGGCTTCAAGGACTTTTATAGATGGTGCAAGGCTAATGATATTCCTGTCATAATCGTATCCAGGTAAGATCGGTCTCATCGCTGTTATATTTTCACGATATCTAACAATACTGGGATATGCAGTGGTATGGAGCCGGTTATCCGTGCCGTACTCTCAAACCTCGTGGGAGAGGAGGACGCAAAGGAGATAGAGATCATATCCAATGATGTCGAAATTCACCCAGATGGAAAATGGGCGATCAAGTACCGACACCCTTCCAGGTGCGGATTTTAGTTCGCGTTTCGTATAGCATCGGAACTGAACATCGTCACCCATTAGTGGGTATGGCCACGACAAATCGCAGGCCATTCTCCCATACCGCGCGTTATCCAGCCCGCCAACACTCTTCTTCTTTGGTGATGGTGTTTCCGGTAAGAAATCTCGGAGGGATGCGCATTGCCGAGATTTTTTAACTGACACTCATGTGTGTCAGACATGTCTGCTGCGCGCCATGCCGATGTTCTCTTCGTGAAGGTAAAAGATAACGGAGAGAATGACCTGGTTTCGTACTGTAAGCAAGAGGGCATTAGGCACATCCTCTTCAGCGACTTCTCCAAGGCTTTGACTGTTGTGCAGTCGGTCGTTGAGGGGAAGAAGACGGCCGACGAGGTGTTAACCGTTGGCCAAGCTTGAGCCAAGCTGTATTCTTATTGAACGTGGTGCGAACACCTTTTGTATCCAGTAGAGTGTATAGATGAAGTATAGACGTCGGCCACGATTGTGTGCTTGTACTTCTGGGAACATTTGTTGCCTCGGCTATTTTACGCGCTTGTGAATCAGCGAAGCCAACTTTGGTTTCCCCGCATCACGTGCTGAGTGATTTTACGACACGCTCGCTATTCGGAGGCGCGCTTTGGCTTCCCGCACATGGCTAGCTCCGCCCGGGATACCCTCTTATAAACGGGCATTTGGTTTGTCAGAGCCCAAACGTCCTCAAAGGCGTTGTGTTCTACGTATTCCTTTTATGTTACACCTCTTGCGTGTATAACATCTCCAGGTATTTGGAGGAATGCAAAGATTAGATATATCTTCAAGAGCCTTCGTTCGCAAATGCAGGAGCTTAGGTCGCGTGCGTAGATATCATGACGAGTCATTTGGGTTTCGTCAGGCTCGCGAGTTTTCTCTCCCAGACTGTAAGTGCCTTTGCTGTTTCAGCTTGCAGCCCTCAGTTCATTGCTTTCACAATAGATTCACCTGCGCAGCTGCAGAATCGTACGGAGAATGCACCCCTGCTACGCTACGTAGACTCCTTGCGAACACATGGGCACCGTGCTGCCAGTATCGATCCACTGGACTTTCTCCAGCGAGAGCGGGTTGCTGCACTTGATCCGACACGCTACGGTCTCGTAGATGAAGAGAAGAAGTATAATGTAGACGGCATACTGTGGACTCAAGCCGTCGGTTCGGAAGCCGGACTGCCTGAAGAAGATACCTGGTGGACTCTCGGGGAAATCACAAGCCATCTTAACTCGGTGTACACTGGTCGCATTGCATATGAATATATGCATTCCCCGTCAAAGACGGAGCGCCTTTGGTTTTCCCATCTTCTTGAATCACGTCGTTCCCCTAGCGGAAATGAGGCTTTCCCGGATGTGAAGGCAAAGCAGAAGCGTATTCACAGCTTGTTGGCTCGAAGCGAAACTTTGGATAACTTTTTACAGCTTAAATTTCCGAACTTGAAACGTTATGGTCTCGAAGGTGGAGAGTCAATGTTGCCTGCTCTAGATGCACTGTTCTCCGCGTCGTCGAAAGGTATATGTTCTTAATGTATCTGTATGTTTTCCCATTGCTAATCAATGGACCTTACTGGTTTTGTGCCTTGCAGTCGGTATTCAACATATAATCCTTGCTATGCCACATCGCGGCCGACTAAATCTATTGACGGAGCTACTTGAATACTCACCGACTGCACTGTTCCACAAGATCAAGGGGGGCGCTGAAATCCCTGAAGAGCTAGGAGCTGAGGGTGATGTTATCAGCCATTTGGGTACGTGTTTAGTGTATGCGTCGTTGCGCTGGCTAGCTCAGTGCCGTAAATATCGAGAGCATGATATCGTATATTGACCTTTTGTTTGTACTAGTCGCGTTCCCTACGTTAAACTATGATGGTGCACAAAACCCTATCAAGGTCTCACTGCAGCCTAATCCCTCACACTTGGGTATGATTCAGATATTGTATTCCGAGTGTAACTTTTGACCTTTCAATGACCTCAGAGGCTGTCAACCCGGTGGCGCTTGGCAAGGCACGCGCAAAGCAATACACCCTCTTGAAAACCTCTCCAAAAGATTGCAAGCTCGGCGACAAAGTGATGTGTGTGCAATTACACGGCGATGCAAGCTTTACAGGTCAAGGCGTGATTATGGAGACGCTAGGTTTGAGTAATCTACCACATTTCACGAGTGGTGGAAGCGTGCACATTGTTGTCAAGTGAGTCAATTTGTTCCTGAAGATTACCATTTGCTAACTATTATTATATCGCCTTTCTAGCAACAAGTAAGTGTTTTCAAGTACTTGTTTTCAAATAATAGCCACTTATTGTGCTGTTAGCATTGGGTATACGACACCGGCTTCCAGTGCTCGTTCTTCGATGTACTGTTCGGATATTGCAAAGATGATCAATGCTCCTGTTCTTCATGTCAATGGAGATCATCCTGAAGGTAGAGTTACAGTGCTGGTATGGAATACCCTGGAGTCTTGATATCAATCTAGATGTTATCCGTGCCGTGGAAACTGCTTTCAAGTATCGGAATTACTTCCGCAAGGTAACAGCTCACGTTCCTCTCGCAAGCACACTTTTATGACAAATGTATTGCAGGATATTGTTGTTGACCTTATTGTATACCGTCGATGGTTTGTATTATTATTTGTATTTCGTGTTTTCGCGGCTCATTCTGCTATCAGGGGACATAACGAACTCGATGAGCCAGCGTTCACACAACCATTGATGTATCAAAAGATTCGTTCAAGGCGGTCTATTCCACAACTATATGAAGATAAATTAATTGTATGTTTTTTCTTCTTCTTTTGTCTGGTTAATGCAGTGATATGAACAGGCATTCTCTTCTTTGATAGAAAGAGGGCGTGGTTGCACAAGAAGAAGCATATAGCATACGGGCTAATTATAAATCTCATCTTGAAGAGCAACTCGGCCAAATTTCTTCATACAAACCATCTGCATCGATGCTTAGTAACCAATGGAAGGGAATGGTGTGGCCTGCGAGCAATGAGGCTATCCGGGACCCAGATACAGGTTTGGAGAAGGACATATTGATCAAGGTCGGAAAAGCTAGTGTCGCGACCCCTAATGGGTTTGTAAGTACCATGCTTTGATGCAGAAGCTGGGGGCTCAATCGCAGCTCATCAACAGGAAATACATCCGCGCTTGCAAAGACATGTGAAGCACCGCTTTCAAAGCATAGAATCTGGCAAAGGCCTGGATTGGGCAACTGCCGAGGTATATTTCTCATTTTGCCGTTTTTTATAAAGTGTAGCGAGAGCTAAATAGATCTCAGGCCATGGCGTTCGGATCGCTGATGCTCGAAGGCTGTGACGTTCGGATATCTGGACAGGATGTGGGGAGAGGAACTTTCAGCCATAGGTAGGCTCGCATTATGTGGATTTCTGAGATTGGCTCAATGGATAATCTAGACATGCTATGTTAGTTGATCAGAAAACTGAGGGAGTCATTGTGCCTTTGAATTCGGAGCTCGAGTCAGATGGAAAGCTCGAGCTAGCAAACAGTGCGTTTCCCTAACCTTTTTCTCACTTTCCCGAAAACACAATTTGATGCGGTCACCCAGGTTCTTTGAGCGAAATGGCTGTTCTCGGTGTAAGATATTTCCAGCTTTGTTATTTCCAAACAAAATCTGACTGACGCCTAGTTTGAGTACGGTGCAAGCTGGGAAAGGCCCAACGTGTTAGCTATTTGGGAAGCACAGGTAGGGCTGACATGTAGTGAATCTATTTTGGACTGACGTTTGCAATATAGTTTGGAGACTTTTTCAATGGTGCTCAGGTAGGTTACGACTAACACCATTATCACTTGAGAGAAAGTTGACCGTTGATGTAAAGGTTATCATTGATACATTCATTGCTTCTGCCGAGAGTACGTTCTTCTTTTCGACTTACCTTACAATGACCAACATCTTTACATAGCCAAGTGGCTGAAACAAAGCGGCATCGTGTTGCTACTTCCTCACGGACTAGATGGTGCAGGGCCCGAACACTCTTCATCTCGTATAGAGCGCATGCTCCAGGTTGGTCATTACTTATTTCGTATTTATGGGAGGACGCACGTTGAAAACTTGATGCAGCTGTCAAACGATCGATATACGCATAACAAAGATGAACCTGCTAACGTCAACATGCATGTGGCATTCCCAACTACACCTGCTCAGTATTTCCATTTGTTGAGACGCCAGATCAAACGAAACTTCAGGAAACCATTGATAGTAGCAGCTCCTAAGACCTTGCTTCGTCTTCCGGTAAGTGTATACACAAGTCGCTGCTGCAAAATTGCTCAACTTGTACAGGCTGCGGCGTCTCCGTTGAGTGATTTGGAATCTGGTTCCCGTTTCTGTCCTGTTCTTGCCGATCCTCTTGCAGACGAGAAACAAGTAAAGAGAGTTGTCTTGTTATCAGGAAAGATATACTATGACCTTGTTAAAGAACGCGAAGTTCAGGAACATGTTGACGATGTTGCATTCGTCCGCATCGAAGAATTGTCTCCCTTCCCATTCGCTGAACTTGGACATGTGCTAGGGCGCTATACCAACGCGAGGGAGGTCATGTGGTTACAAGAAGAGCCTCGCAATCAAGGACCATACACGCACGTATTTGGCAGGATTCAGGAGGTGTTGAGAGAGTTAGGACACGAGGAGAGTGCCAGTGCCTTGGTATATAAAGGGCGAAAGGAAGGTCCAATGCCTGCTCCGGGGATAGCGAAGATATATACTACACAGCAGAAGGACGTGATAAACGCAGCATTCCAAGGATTGTAAATTTTGTAAGTAGTAACGAGAGGGACTAATTAGAGAGATGTAGACATTTTATTGAAGTCGGAATAAATAGGTCTGATGTCTCCAAAATCTGTATACAGATCATAACAAGACACGCGACGGGAAGTTTCTCTGGTAAATGGCCCTTAAACATATCATACAATCTCTAGATGGTTGTTTGTTTCAGAGGCTGTTGCCAAACAAACACCTGTGTGAAACGCGTGATCGTCACGAAGCGCGTTAGTCACAATTAGGTCACACTTTCGCGACATTCCCCTCCACGACTTGGTCCAAGTAGTAGGAATCAGTCTTTCTTCCAGTTGTAGCTTCTGGACATACAAAGGAAGAGCTTTCAAGATGCCTCTTATTCGTATCGAGCTCTGTGATTTTAAATCATATCGGTATGTAAAACCCTTCACACAGTGTAACTTGTACTCAATATGATGGCAGAGGCCATCAGGTCATTGGGCCTTTCATGAATTTCACCTCTGTGATAGGTCCAAATGGTGCTGGGAAGTCGAATCTTATGGATGCCATCTCTTTGTCTTGGGTGTGAAAAGTGCACAACTTCGGAGTAGTCAACTGAAGGATCTTGTCTATCGGGGTAGACGTCTCGCCAGGAATGGCGTGGAAGGTGCGTCTGATGCTACGCAGGACGATGACGAAGAAGAGGGGGAAGGCGAAGGGTCAGCCAGGAAGGCATGGGTATTGGCTGTGTATGAGGACGAAAAGAAAAAGGAGTGGTTGTTTCAACGAACGTATGTCATCGGTCGTTCCTACCGGGTTACAATCACGGTCTTATTTTTCACTTAGGATATCCACAACAGGTGCATCCGAGTACAAGCTCAACAACAGGGTTGTCACGTATTCCGCATACAACGCAGCACTCATATCACACAATATCCTCGTAAAAGCTAAGAACTTTCTCGTCTTCCAGGGAGACGTAGAAGCGGTCGCATCTCAATCTCCTCGTGAATTGTCTCGCCTCATCGAACAGATTAGTGGCTCTTTGGAGCTTGCTGCAGAATACGAGCAAGCTAGAGAAGCACAGGAGAGAGCTACAGAAAATGCCACATTCAACTTCACGAAAAGACGGGGTATTGCTGGGGAAATAAAGCAGTACAAGGAACAAAAGGGAGAAGCTGAGAGATTTGAAGCGTTATGTCAAGAAAAGGTTGGCAAATGCCCCTTGTTGTTGATCTTTTTTACCTTGTGGCTCTTGCTAAGCTCGAGTTGTGACTCACTACTTTGTTTCAGGACGACCTGATCCTTCGCCGCATTCTTCACAAACTTTTTCACATCGAAAAAGACATTGAGAATAACGTTCGTGAAATCAGGGATCAAAACAGAGCTTTAGTTGGATTACGTGAAGACCAACGTGTTCATGATAAGGCATTGGAGGACGCTCGCGCTGAACAGGCCAGGGCTCGTACTAACGTCATCCAAAAGGAAAAGAGAATAAAGAAAGCTGAAAAGTCACTCGAAGGCAAGGTATAACATAGATCCACTTCTACTGTCTTCAATATATTGACTATATTGCTTCAAGCAACCTGATCTAGCGGCTACTGAGGCTCAGATGAAGCATTCTACAAGAAAAATTCAAAACGCACAAAATACCGACGAACAACTAACGAAAGACGCTGAGCGCCAGAGGGAAAAGCTGACTGGACTACAAAAGGACTTACAGGACGTGAGAAAGGCGGCTGATGCGGCTCAAGGTCAGACCCAATCGACTTAAGAGCGACTTCAGACGACTTTGATCTCATTTTCTCTTTAGAGGCTCAGAGAAGGCAATCGCAACACAATACGTCGCTGAGTGAAGAAAGTCTTCAGGAGTATCGTTCACTGTGTGTATATTCCCAGGTATATTGCTAGAGTATCAGTGTTGACATAACTCTTTTCAACAGTAAAGCGTCAGCGAGTATCCTGGCTGTCGACGAACGGCAGTCTCTAGAAACCCTATCACGAGATGAGAAAACTGCAAGTCGCAATTTGACTCAGATTAAAGATAGGCACGAGCAAATGGATCAAAAGAAAGTCAAGTTAATCGAAGAAATTAGGGCGCAAGGAGAGAGGAAGGAAGAGGTTAGTAATCTTCATTGTAGTTGTACTACGTTATCTAGCCAGTAGATAGACGTCAACTAACGCCTCCGGCCATAGTTAGAGCAGAAGACAGTAACGCTACAAGCGGATATGGATAGAGCGAAACAAGAGTACGATAACCAACTATCAGAGCGTACTAGAATAGCGTAGGTTTTTTCAGGTTCTTCAGATTTCACTATGTGTTTAATTTGTATCTTTGAAATAGGCGACTCGAAACGGAAACGAACGAAAAGCTAGCCGAAGTATATCAGAAGCTCTTACAGGCAGGAGTTGATAAGACAGAGTCTGAAAAGGAAGTAAAGTTAAAGGAAACACTTGCCAGTTTGCAACGTATATTCCCAGGTGAGAATACCAGCCAACTTCAAACGACAAGCCTAATTGAGACTTGCTAGGTGTTCGTGGAAGAGTTGTCGACTTGTGCAAACCTACACAGAGGAAGTACGAGACTGCTGTCTCTGTCATCCTTGGACGTAACATCGATGCTGTGGTGGTGGACGAGGAAAAAACTGCCATCGACTGTATCGAGGTATTCAAAATCAGACTTGAGACTAGCTGAACTCTGTACGCTCACACTACACCGACAGTATATGCGCAACCAACGGGCTGGACAGGCGACTTTTATTCCGCTGGACACCATTCAAGTAAAGCCAATAAACGACAAATTCCGCTCTTTTGCGAAAGGTGCACGCTTGGCTGTTGATGTCATTCAATACGAGCCAGTGGTTGAACGGGCGATGCATCATGCCTGTGGAGATGCACTTGTATGTGATTCTATGGAGGTAGCAAGATATGTATGTTATGATAAGGGCCAGGAAGTGAAAGGTACGTATATCTTTTGTGTGTTGCAGATGTCCTCTGAAGTCCATGGTTATGGATGGCTAGCTGTCACCCTCGAAGGGACGATAATTCATAAAAGTGGGTTGATAACTGGTGGTCGGAGTACTCACGGCGGAGGGAAAAAGTGGGATGAAAAGGATGTCAAAGGTGAATTATATCGAGGACAATTTAGTCTTCAGTCCTGAAACTGATAAGCTGCGTAGGGCTATATCGCGTACGCGATGCTTTGACTGCACAATTGCAAGAACTCAGTAGGTCGAAACCACGTGGAAAGGCCGATGAAAACCTGATCGCTGAAGTCACACGCTTGGAGTCTGTCATTGCTGTGGTTAAAGACGATCTGGTACTATATTTATGGACAGCTAAGACATCTATTACGGTACTGATCTTCCTCGTAGAGCGCGTGCAAACTTCGCCTGAATGGAGCCAAAGATGAACTCAAACATCTGGAAAGGGAGTTGAGGAAGCTTGCCCCTGAACTCAGGAGGGTCTGCCTCTTTTGTCGTTTTTGGCATGTATCATTCGCTGATTATCCTGCATCCTCCAGGCGCAAACAACACATAATTCTCTCAAAGAGAAAGTCGACAGCCTGGCGGCCGTAATCAACGAAGCCGAAGATGGCGTCTTCGCCTCTTTCTGCAACAATATCGGGGTATCTAATATCCGAGAGTACGAAGAGCAACAGCTTAAAGTTGCTGAAGAAGAAAGCCTAGCTAGGGTTCGGTATGATCAACAGATCATGCGGTTGACCCATCAGTGAGTCATGCTGGGTTGTGTTCCTTTCCATTCAAACTAATCTTATCAACAACGAAGGTCTCAATTCGAGGAAGAGCAGTACAAGAACATACGGGAACGTCTGTCTACTCTCCAAAATATGGTCCAAGCTGAACAAGCGAAAATGACCGAGCTTGAAAATAAGAAGCGCGACATTGAACGAGAAATCGCAGAAGCGCAGGAAACCCTTTCTGAGCTACGCGATGAGTTAAATGGCCTCAACGAGACTCTTGAACAAAAGAATAAAAGCGTTGAACATGTGAAACGTGCTCATGCGAAAGCGTCGAAAGTTCTTGACCAAGCATTGAAAGAAATAGGGACGAAGGTACGGTCCATGTCGTCTACTGATGTGGGAGTGCATAAATTTATCTTACGGCTTTTTCAGAATGACGAGATCGAAAAGCTGGCTCTAGAACGCTCATCGACGTACAGGAAATGTCGTCTTGAAGATATCAAAGTTCCTCTTCGGGATGGTAATCTTAGAAACGTGCCTATGGAAGAGGTAGGTGGATTTTCCAAGGCGCAATGATTCATGCTAAATCGCATTCATAGAATCTGCGAGAAGAAGTTGCAATGGATGTTGACGAAGACGAAGACGGCACTCAACGTCCTAGGCAGGTCCAGAACTATGGTATAGAGGTCGACTTCGACATACTGGATGACGACGAACGCTCAGTAAGTGTTATGATCTCTCTAAAAAGTCTACGACACTACAGTTATTGCACTACTGCTACAGAATAACTCTCCCGAAACCATTGCCGAGTTCGACTCTTCGATAGCCAAGCTCAATGCAGACATAGAACGGATGGCGCCCAATTTGAAAGCCATGGAGCGGTGAGTGTACTTCAAGCTTGGAGAACTCATTAGTGGTGTTTATCGGTGACAGGTTGGATGATGTCGAGGCGAAGTTAGTGCAAACAGAGAGGGAAGCCGACAAGGCTAGAAAAGATTCAAAAACTGCTCGTGACCAATTCAGCGAAGTTAAACGACGACGGTGAGATCAAGCAAGTATATATATATATAAATATCCTCTCTGACAACAATTCAAGGTGTGAACTCTTTAACAAAGCTTACAATCATATTTCAGACCGTATCGATCAAGTTTATAAGGATTTAACTAAAGGAAAGGCATCTCCGATGGGCGGCGTTGCTTATCTCAGTTTAGAGGACAGTGAGGTTAGTGTTGTAAGGTCTCTCGAGAATACAGGAGTGTTTACACAGACTGTAGGAACCATATAACGCCGGTATCAAGTACCATGCCATGCCTCCTATGAAACGGTTCCGAGATATGGAGCAGCTTTCTGGAGGAGAAAAAACAGTAGCTGCTCTAGCTCTTCTATTTGCCATACACAGGCAAGTTTGACATGTTGTCATAGTAGATACTATCTCACTTATCGATTCATTCAAGCTACCAACCTGCCCCCTTTTTCGTCCTGGACGAGGTAGACGCTGCTTTGGACAACACTAACGTGGCCAAGGTAGCAAATTATATCCGCACGCAAGCCTCCACTTCTTTCCAGTTCGTTGTTATCAGTCTGAAGGGCTCCTTATACGAGCGTGGTCACGCCTTAGTGGGTATTTACCGCGACCAGGATGTCAACAGCTCACGGACATTAACCCTTGACGTAAGTGGATCCTTGATTTTTTTACAAGCCACTACCTGATTGCGAATGACCTCTGGTAATATCAGCTCACACAATATGCTGGATAAACGACTCTTGTCGTGATGCTTTCGTGTTTGTCGCTGCTTGTCGCCCCTATGTTTCTTTAGCACTAGTGTAATCTTATATTGGTCTGTATAATCTTGCTGTAGCTACCCGAACCCTTACCTTTCAGTACAATGTATGTTATGATACCACGACCGTGACATATATAGTCACGGTAGGTTGGCATGAAGCATTCAACCTGAACTCTAACGTTCTACTACATAGCAGCATATTTACACCAACTGTCTATGGCTCCTCCTACGCTGGTCTAACTTGCTAGGAAGAGCAAGTTAGTTGGATTTTTCCATTCGGATACATTGTTTCAACCTCATCTGCATCGACATTTCGTACATTTTGAAGCATTGATCTGCTCACGGGATACTTTCTCAACTTGTGAAGGTGAGCTATTTCCAGTTCATGCAAGGCATGTAGATGGTCGGGAAGCCTGAGTGGAATGTGGGTGAGAGCTATCATATTTTGAGAACACTGCATCAAGCATCAAGGAAGTGTTCTGCGCAGTTACAGTGGCGTGCGTGATCAGAGAAATGTATTGACTGTGCTATCTCAGTGCGGCTCGGTATATCGGCCACCGACAGGACCGTCTCAGTCAGACTACCAGAAATATTATAATCACATTCATGGATCACAGGGCATCTGATCGTAAGTAACAACACTTGTAGGACAACACAAATGGAGAACATGTATTGGCAAAGAGCGGGTCATGATGCAGTAAGTCACATCTGTCGTACTATCCCAAATACTGGATCTGGTTGATTGATGAACCGCATTTCGTTCCGTTTTGCTCGCATCATGGTCCTACTAGTAGTATAAAAGCCAGCATTCTCAGGTTATCAATTGACCTGTTTCCTACCCCAGATAAGTTTCAGCTTCAGGAATGTCTGAACTAGACACACAGCCAGCAAAAAATCCTCCGGCCCCTCTGCCTCTTGACGAACGTCTATACGTTCTCAAGCCCGAGACTTCAGCCTTCTTTAAATCACACACTGGGATTCACGATGACGATGCTCTGAAGAGTCATATCCTAGCCGTCCAAGCAAAGGCATACAAAGTTGGTTGTCTGATTTGTCTGCCTATATGTAAAATGTTGATTCCGTTGATCATTCAGATATTTCCCTATCCATGCATTCGTTTTCTAGGGTTCACCGAGTACGTTCATATTCTCTATCTATCACACGTTTCCTTTTCAACGGGATCTTTAGGACGACTATATATAATCTGCCTGCTTATCAGCATGTCTTGAAACTAGGCCAAGAACGCAAGGGCGCGATCTTGCTCGATATTGGGTGCTGCTGTAAGTATTTTCGTATCTTCTATCATTCTTATACTATGGCACTGACAACATCATAAGTCGGTGGTGACGTAAGAAAAGCCGTTGCAGATGGCTTCCCGGTTCAGAATGTGATAGCTTCTGATCTTCACGCGGGTAAGAAGTCAAGATGATTTTGTAATCTTAATCTTGTCACTTGAAGAATTCTGGGACCTGGGCCATGAGCTATTCAAGTCGACCCCAGAGACGTTCCCAGCGTCATTCATATCTGGTGATGCCTTTGATGTGTCTTACCTCGAAGCTGTGCCTCCGATCTACGATGCTGTAGAAACTACAGTTCCCAAGTTGAACACTGTGACCACATTGAACGCTCTTCGAGGGCACATATCCGCCCTGCACGCTGCTGCGTTCTTCCATCTGTTCAGTGAAGAGCAGCAGCTCACATTGGCAAGATCCCTCGCGTCCCTTCTCTCCCCTCTGCCAGGCTCCGTCGTATTTGGCCAACACGTTGGCAAGAAGGAAAAGGGACTGGTAAAGGGGTTTGGCCATACTATATTCTGTCACTGCCCCGAGACATGGGCTGCTATGTGGGACGGTGTGGTATTTGAGAAGGGCACGGTTCGCGTTGATGTCAAGCTGCAAGAAATACAGTCTTTCATAGAATTGAGTCCGAAGGTAGTGGAACGGATATCTGCTGAACAGGATACAGGTGCGATATTGCTCATATGGTCGGTGACTCGTCTTTGAAGTCGGCCTTGGTACTCGTTGTAATAATACTATGTCGAATCTCTATATCGAAGTGTTGCCTAGTGAACAACAAATTACAATCTCATGCATTTTCGCGGAGTTGCAAGTTTTTCATTCATTCCATTGTTATCTCTGTTGGCACCGAATCCACGGTCAGTGGTTATAATGGCTCACATCGATCTATTGGGGGTATTCGAAGCCCTGCATTGGATAGCGTAGTTAATATGTGCGCAACTTGGGGGGTCACTATTTCTGCCTTTTGGCGATCATTGACACAGTTAGCTAGCAAGACGTGGTTTCAGTTTTATCGACGTAAAACATAAATACTCTAGGCAAGACTTCAAAATAGAGATTTGAGATAGTATTATTACAACGAGTACCAAGGCCAACTTCAAAGGCGAGTCACCGACCATACAAGCCACATCATAGCTTTAGCCTCTTCAGCAGGTATATTTCCCGTTACCTTCGGACTCAATTCCATGGAAGGCCGCTTTTCCTGTAGCTTGACATCCACGCGCACTGTCCCCTTCGCAAATACTACACCGTCCCACATAGCAGCCCACGTCTCGGGACAGTGACAGAATAGAGTATGGCCAAACATCTCTATCAGTCCCTTTTCCTTCTTGCCGATGTGATAGCCAAATATGACTGAGCCTGGAAGAGGGGAGAGAAGGGGGGCGAGGGATCTTCCCACTGCGAGCTGCTGCTCTTCACTGAACAAATGGAAGAACGCAGCAGCATGCAGGGCGGATATGTGCCCTCGAAGAGCGTTCAATGTGGTCACAGTGTTCAACTTGGGAACTGTAGTTTCTACAGCATCGTAGATCGGAGGCACAGCTTCGAGGTAAGACACATCAAAGGCATCACCAGATATGAATGACGCTGGGAACGTCTCTGGGGTCGACTTGAATAGCTCATGGCCCAGGTCCCAGAATTCTTCAAGTGACAAGATTAAGATTACAAAATCATCTTGACTTCTTACCCGCGTGAAGATCAGAAGCTATCACATTCTGAACCGGGAAGCCATCTGCAACGGCTTTTCTTACGTCACCACCGACTTATGATGTTGTCAGTGCCATAGTATAAGAATGATAGAAGATACGAAAATACTTACAGCAGCACCCAATATCGAGCAAGATCGCGCCCTTGCGTTCTTGGCCTAGTTTCAAGACATGCTGATAAGCAGGCAGATTATATATAGTCGTCCTAAAGATCCCGTTGAAAAGGAAACGTGTGATAGATAGAGAATATGAACGTACTCGGTGAACCCTAGAAAACGAATGCATGGATAGGGAAATATCTGAATGATCAACGGAATCAACATTTTACATATAGGCAGACAAATCAGACAACCAACTTTGTACGCCTTTGCTTGGACGTCCAGGATGTGACTCTTCAGAGCATCGTCATCGTGAATCCCAGTGTGTGATTTAAAGAAGGCTGAAGCCTCGGGCTTGAGAACGTATAGACGTTCGTCAAGAGGCAGAGGGGTTGGAGGATTTTTTGCTGGCTGTGTGTCTAGTTCAGACATTCCTGAAGCTGAAATTCATCTGGGGTAGGAAACAGGTCAATTGATAACCTGAGAATGTTGGCTTTTATACTACTAGTAGGACCATGATGCGAGCAAAACGGAACGAAACGCGGTTCATCAATCAACCAGATCCAGTATTTGGGATAGTACGACAGATGTGACTTACTGCATCATGACCCGCTCTTTGCCAATACATATTCTCCATTTGTATTGTCCTACAAGTGTTTTCAATTACGATCAGATGCCCTGTGATCCATGAATGTGATTATAATATTTCTGGTTAGTCTGACTAGGATGGTCCTGTCAGTGGCCGATATACTAACGAGCCACGCAGACTAGCACTGAGATAAGGACGACACATTCAATCGATACCTTTCTCTAATCGCGCGCGCCAACTTGTAACTGCGCAGAACGCTTTTTTGGTGCGATGCTTTTAAAATATGGTAGCTCTCATCCACATTCCACTCAGGCTTCTTGACCATCCACCTATCTCACATAAACTGCAAGTTGAAAAGTATCCCGCGAGCAGATCAACGCTTCAAAACGTATCTGGAAAGTTTGATTTGGATGAACTTGAAACAATGAATCGAAACGGAAACGTACAGATAACAAGCTCTTACTAGGAGGACGTTAAAGTTAGATCAGCGTAGGAAGAGCCATATACCCAGTGACTATGAATATGCTATGTACTGGAACGCTCAAGTTTAAGCGACGGGCAAGAGAGTAACTGGCAGGGCCGAAAGGCAGCCACGACGGACCTGGTGTTACCAAATCTGGCCATGCTTGGGCACCGACCGAAACGCCTCCACACAGAAAGTCAACTTTTGTCACACGTTGATGAAAAAGTCCGAAGGTAGTTAAGATGTTTAATTGTAGGTGTTCTGCCACTTTTCCCAAAATTTGTCCGGATGGTTCATCAAGGTTCCATAGGAATTATCAGGGGTCCTCGCAGACTCCAACCACTCGGCGGGGTGTTCTCCTACATCCTAGTGTAGCCACATTCGATTACATAATAAATAGTTTTCCGAAGTTTTATCGAAATTTTAGTGTTGAGGATAACACCCCAAGCCGACTGGCAAACTTTGCTGTGGCTGAATATTTAAGTCTATTTGTTCACCCTGTAAGAAACGGTGCTCCTGCCAAAAGAAGACCGGCCATACGGAGCAACATAAAAGTAACCGACACCAAAATTGGTAAGTAAGTTTGAACATGCAGAGTCAACGTGTAGGGGGAAGAGACAGTTAGAATGGCACACTTTTCAAATCCTTTAGACAGCTCAAATGGTCTCCTCGGAGGGTATCAACAACATCTTGTACATTTTAAAACAAAATAATGCTACTTTGTCATCACTTCTCTATGAAATCCTTAACAGTCAACCTCTTACTCATTGCGGCACCCAAGAAATAATTGTCCAAGAGGCTGAAGACATCTGTAGAGTCTTGTATAGCCATCCATCAACTAGGCAGAACATCTTTGCATGGGCAATGGATACTGTCAAGTCTTGCTTATGTAAAGAGGTTAAAGAACTCACTCACCAGTCACAACCTACACTTTTGTGCAACAGCAGCCACGTCGGAGCAACTAGAGGGGGGATTCATGCAGTTAATTTCGCTTAAAATGAAGACTATCACCCCAAACCTTTGGGGTTTGATGATGGCCCTCTTATGAAACAACTCGGAAGCCTCAGATATCCTAGTGGATGAGGCAGAGATGGATCTCGGTGAAATTGGAGGTGATGATGAGGAGGAAATGAATGAAGAACATACCAGAGATCCCAACTTGATAGCCAGCAAGAGTGGTGAAAAAAATAGCCGCCAAGCAAAGTGAGCAGAGGATTGGAAAAAGGCACTTTTTCTTGTGGTGAGAATGTCCAAAAATGGCCTTGAATAAAAATTAATGGGGATTCACTCAGAAAGCTGTTGTTTGCATCAGTATCTTCCTACAGAGTGTAAACAAGAGATGCAATTACCTGCAAGGTCTCCTCAGTATCTTCCTGCACTCAACTGGGGCCCCCGAGAAAGTTGTTGAGGTCCTTGCACACACTGGCTTGTCTGTCAGTGTCATATCAATCCATCAGGCAGTGAACTCTATGTCACATGGGATCTCAAGTCAAATCAAACAAGCTGTGCAGTCTATGCGGTCAGCTTTTGCTTACGACAATTTTGATATCAATTTCCAAACTGCGCAACCTACCTCGGAGCACCAAACCACCTTTGTCAGCATCACATCTGCTACTATTGTGCCAATATATGGCATCATGGACCCAATAACACTGAAATGTTCAGCCACATTATGGGAGCGTGATCCATTGAATCCCAATCCAACAGAACCAATCAGTGATACTGTTGACATTGCATAACTGCACAAGGACGATACTTACAATAAGAGGCTATCCGGCCAAAAATTCAGCCCACGCCTTCAAGTATTTGCATGGCACATTTGCAATATTCTGGTTTCTCACAGCGGACATTTCGGACATTTTGCAAATCAGCTTGCTGAGCCAGACCCTGTAACCCAGATCCCGCTGCATAAAACAGATCAGATAACTTGTCGTGCTATGAAAATAAAACAGTCTACATCAGATGGCAATATTGAAGCCTTGGAGAATCTACTAAGGCAAGGTGATGAGGATTTTGATCTTGATCATGACAAGGACATGTCAGAATATGTTCTCTTTGTCCATGGGGACTTACTCACAAAAGAGCGGATTGATGCTGTTCGCCATTCTTGCCGCATTGAAAGAACACCAAAGGATTGGTTTCAATACATTGTGTTTCTGCCAGGGCTCTTCCATTATAAAATGGCATGTGCTGATGCAATCTGGCGGACATACCTGCAGCCTGCAGACTCTCAAAGCGACCCAAATAGCTTATATGAGCACATTGGGATGCTGCGTCCTAAAGAGACAGGAAAGCTCATCAGCAAGCCTGGATTCAGGCGTATGCACAACATTGTGCACCATGACTTGACAGGATCAATGCTTAACTGCTGGCAACATAAGATTACCAAAAGAAATCCACAGTGCTCATCAATTGAGCTGTTTGCAACTACAAAACCCACATGGGAGGACATAGTTGACATGTCCGACGCAATTGTGGCCAAGTATATTGGGACCAGTCCTGATTTGCATAAAGAACGCAGCAAACCTTTCCACGAGCGTGACAAAGTGTATGGAAACCAACTCCTCCACAATTGTGATGAGCTCATGTATGTTGATTTATGCCATGCCATGAATTCTGGAGATGTGGGTCATGTTGAGGCCTCGTTCTTGCCATGGATACATATCTTTGTCACTGTTGGGAAGCATAAGTATGCAGCACAAATAAGCAAAATTTTATGTGACCTTTGCTATCAATACCCTCCAGATTTGAGGTGAGCTTGCTTTGGTGAAAGACATCCATGAACTAAATTGTTCCCAGTCAATTGATACACCTTAACCTGCTGTGCAATCCAAAGGGTGTGACTGGGGCATGGTGTGCCATTGATTGGCTAGTGGAGCGGAACAACCTGTACACAAAGGTCAGTAGGGAACTATAGGAATATAGCATTACTTGATATCCCTGTATCTGAGGTAATTGTTTCAGGATTGGGTTCAAATTGCACAATAGACCACATCATCGAACATTCACCTCTCATTGAAGTCTTCCGTCACTGCCATATTATTGTCAAAAACCCATTCCACCTCCTCCACCATACAATCCGCCACCAACCACCAGATATGACCAAGACAATTGAAAAACTTACAAAGCGGCTTTTAGAGACTAAACCACACAAGTTTACTGCCGGTCGTAAATTGCGCTTTTCTGTTGATGATAAGGTAGCAAGCGGCTTTGGGATTATACAAAAAAAGGGGTAGGAGTATCTACATCTGGGGAGGGCGATAGTGAGAGTGTTGAAATAACTGGTGCCGACCTTGTAGACTGACCTATTTTACACTGTGGTATGCTCACCATTTTGTGTGGGCTTAATATTCTCGTCATTGGGATGATTCTGTGTCTTCCGGGGCTTTGATGGGATGGAGCCATACTTCGGGCAGAGGCGATTTGATGCTAAGAATACATCTGTTAATTTGCCATAGTGAGCAAGATCAACAATGCAGTCGAGGATTTTGTTGGCGATGACAAGTTGGGCCCCAAAAAAGTCGACATCTCCATAACCAGCATCAACCATCTGCTTCTCTTGTGTTTAGCACACGTTAACTGAGGCAGCGATAATGGGACAAACAGGATGCACAAGTCCTGGTTGCAAATATCGCAACAAAGCCGCGACAAACAACAGCTGCATCTCTCACACTCACACCTGTCGCCACCATTCTCACTGTGTTCTTCACTGCAGGTAAGCTATTGTTCTTTGTTATAAAGCAACTGACACAATATACCATCAGGATTTGCGAAGTATTCGTCGACAACGCAGCATTAGCACAGGCAAGAATTAATAAAGATATCCATCGCCACCATCTCGAGCTCTGCAACTGGACAATTGGCCGGTAGGATTTTGGTCCTAGACTCGGAGCTGGATGCCAACTCAAGGTGAGAGAATCCATTTGAATGAATATGGCATGATTGCCCTATTGTCTCACTCTCTACAGGTGCCATCACTACATCCCCATCACCACCACTATTGCCACTGCCCTCCTCAGGCTCGGCCTCAACAAATGGCTCTTTGTTCGACGGACCTTCATCATCTTCATGGTGAGTTTTGTGCCGCTTTTGTGCTGGCTTTTGCTGATCCTCCGTATTTTTTCTCTTGGATGATTGTTTATGGCTATCAAAGTGCCGTGGTTCAACAAAATAAATTGCAGTCGCTTCAATGTTCACATTGCATGCAGCACGCCCAAACTGTTGTAAGAGCGAACACAGAGATTTTGTATACCCCCATTGTATCACAAGCTTAATGCTGCGTAAGTCTAGACCCTACTTGTCTTTGAATACAAATACAAAAATATTTGATAGCTGACGCACCTGTGAGGCAACGATAAACTATAACAAAAACGAAACCTGTCTCCTTCTGCACTTGCAGGGAGTAAAGGGTTCAATGAGCTTGAGGTCGACAGACGCTAGTAAATATAGCGAGTAGAGGACTTTGAGAGGTAAGCTTCAAAGGTTTTCGTTGAGGAGTAAAGTGGGTAAATTCAGTAATAGAAAACTAAGGAGCCATACATGAATAGGTAAGGCTTTATATAGTGAACTGTTCGTTCCTCAGACCGAAAGGAGAATATACAAAAAGTGGTCTGAGGAATCAATCGACCAATAAGAAAAAGAGGGAACAACTATCATACGACTTTTAACTTGATTAATCAGCAGGTGAGAGACTTGTACTAATAATAGAAGATTGTTACGCGTGGTCAGGAACCGTATCCTCATGATGAGGTACGATTCTAGATAAGGCGTTTATTAGTATTACCAGGCTTTACTGGGGCTTGGAGCTGGTTGGCGAGATGCCTACTACCAGTCCCTACCCAGTGTGCTGGCTAGCTGGGAGCGATGCCCAGTCTCTGATCTGTGATATAAAGTGGTAGCGATGGTTAAGAAAGCCTGTGAGGGCTATGAGAAGTAAGATGGCAAAGGATACCTCTAGCCCTAGAGCCAGAGGTGTAACGGGAAAAGCGTTTGAGAACCAAGACATAACAAAGATAAGAAAATAGTAAAACGGTCCTTACAGCACCATACCTGCAGCATCTGTACAGCAGATGCCCCACAATTCCCTCGTGCGTAGCTGTTTTATCGTGTCTCTATGAAACTGAGCGCTCATCCCTGAATGAAACCAGACAACTTTGTCTCGGTGTTCAGATGGCAAGACTGATTGTATGACCTCACATGAGTGCTCTGTCTGGTTCCGAGTGTTGTCAAAAATCATAAATGATGGGGGTTGAGTTCCATGGTCAATCCCCAGTGCACAAATTAGATCATATTTAGTTTTAATTGGATACACCATTTTTGTGACCATAATGTGGATATTTGGTCTGCCATTGCGGCGATGAATGGTTACAATGTTGTTGGATTCCATATGAAGCTTTTTCTTGATGTCGCGGATGATATGTGGTGGCAGAGTAGCAGATGTAGCATGAAATGAGATATGGCGAGGAAGGATCCATTGCAAACAATCAAGGTCTCCATATTCAGGGCAAAATCCATCTCCCCACTCACTAATACAATGAGCTTCATCAATTGTCACACTGAATAGCTTGTTTGTGAACTGTCAGTTTGCCCACAGAATATCAAAGCGCTTGTCTGATAAAACACGCTCGGGGCTTACAATAATAACTCTATATTTTGCAGCTGCAATATCCTATAAGAGTTTCAACTGCTTGAAAATGGTCAAACGATGTGAACTTACTTTGAACGCTTTGTCAGTGGCTGATTTGGCTTTCAGACAAATAGCAGGGATATTGATGTCTTTTAGCTCATCCACATTTTTGTCCCCAAGGATGTTGAGTGGTGTAATAAGGATCATGACTCTGTTGTGGAAGAGCAGAGGGATCCAGAAGCACAATGTTTTTCCTGAGCCTGTAGGAGAAATAGTAATGACATCTTTTGCCTCTAGCTGAGCCCGTGCAGAACGGATCTGCCAAGGGCAAGGCTGAAACCTAAATGTTGAATATACAGTTGCTGATATCTCGTCGATGCTAGGAATGACATTCTGTCGAGAAGACATCAATGATGCTGGCTCAAGAAGGTAACTGTGATGGAAAGAAGTCAAAGTTTACGCAATGTGATACATGGTCTCTGCTCCGTATGGTCGGTCTTCTTTTGGCAGGAGCACCATCATCGATGATGAGAACTGTTGTTAGAAAAAACCACACACAAAAACAAACTAACACACAATCCTCCCAGATTCCACGGAACTTGTTTATGGGGTTTGCCTCCTAGAACAGTGGAGTGGTCTGGTTGTTTGTGGGGTGGTATGTATGAGGATCCTTCAAAGTAAAACCCAGAGATGTATGGGTGTGGGTTTTGAGGAGGAGGGATAGTTGGAATATAGAAAGATAGGGGCTTTGTGGCGAGTATAGACGAGCACTACCTTGCTAATCATAGCACAAGGTAGGTTTGAGAACGACAATATGACGAGGTTCCCAGTGATAGCAGGCTCCTGACGCACAAACTGTAGTGCTCAGAAGGACTCTAATTGAAAGGGATGACAATGACTTCAAAAGTGGGAAGTGACAATGACAGCAGTTGACAGTGGTAGCAGTGGGAAGTGTTGTGACCACACTGGATCACAAGCAGCAGAGTAGTGAACTTGAATTTAGAGAAGAAGTCTGGAATGGAGTTCTTGTTGTTTTTACAAGGTAAAATACAGGGGTTTATATAGTAAAAGAAAAGTAGGCTATGCACAATATAGCTGTGCAAAAAGAATGAGAAAGAACATGAAGGAAGGAATGTATGCTGATGAATCCTGCGTAGGTAGTACAGGATAAGATTGTCAAAAAAGGAAAAGAAAGAGATAGAACAATGAATGCTGTGAGTAATATCACAGGTTTGTACAGCCATAAAGTAAAGTCCAATAGCAAAAAGAGAGCAGGAAAATCATGATGTCATGGGAAGATGCAGTAAAAAAAGGGCAAGGCAAAACACTATCAGTATCAACACAGTTCCTTTATTGTCAGTCAGGCATTCTAAAAAATATGTGTCCATAAAAATGATTCAAAAATCAAAAATAATCACACTGTAAATGAATGTTCTGCTGAAAAAAAGAAACTGGAGCCACCGGTCCACCACCTAGTCCAAATCCGACAGTTCCATGGCCTTACCAATGGACTGGTTGTGTTGGACCACCTGATCAAAAGAGGGAGGGAGAGGAGTAGTTCCAATTTGGAACAAGTGGGTCCCAGGCAGCGTGTGGTAGGTGTAGCTGTAGCGAAGACGATGGACAAAAGATAAGTGTACCCAAGTGAATGGGACAGCGATGAACATGGGTGATGCAAGGGGATAAACCTTCTCCAGCTCAAAAACTACCCACCCACGCTCCAACCAGGCAAGATGAGCGACCGATGTTTTGATAGTATATGATGGCAGATCAACGTCATGAAGATGGACCTGTTGCCCTATTTGGACCGGCCGCCGGGGCTTTGCTGATATCAGCAGTGGCACATGGTAGTCAACGAATCAGCGATGGAAGCAGATAGGAAGTGGTGACATCAGAAATGGTGGGGGTGCAAATAAGATGAGGAGGAGGAGGGTGGAGGTGACAAAAAAGTGGATTAGAATGGGGATCCAGAAATGACTGTCAGGTGAGAATAAAAAGGAGAGGAAGGGGCCCATGGTGGGGCTAGGCAAAGGAAGGGGAGTAAGGGAAACGACAAAAGTGAGGGCGCAATGCAATGTGTAGCCAGTGGCGACGCGAAAATTTGCCGAAATGCCGAAATGCGGAAAGTACCGGATGGAAAAGCAAAGGTGAGCGTGACTGGATTGCCTAATAGAGGTGGTGCTGATCAGCCACAAGTTCAAAAAAGGCAATATTAATTACTATTCCACGTGACACTGTGCCTGTGTGGCGCAAAGGCGAGTCTTTTTGAATATTCGCTTCATTATTAACACCTGTCCATGCTACCAATCAACTTTGGTGCATGACACCGTTTCTTACAGGGTGAACAAATAGACTTAAATATTCAGCCACAGCAAAGTTTGCCACACAGCAAGCATAACCAACTTTTGTCATACTCATAATTGATGGAAAAGTCTGAAAGTAGCTGAAATATTTGATTGCATTTTGGACCTACAAAATGATGTCTTTTTGTTGACATATTCCCATAAATACTATATTTTTGTGTAAATATGTAGAAATATGTTAACAAAAATACATTATTCTGATAAAGTTTTGTAGGTCCAAAATGCAATTAAACATTTTAACTACTTTCAGACTTTTTCATTGATTTTGGGTGTGACAAAAGTTGGTTATGCTTGCTGTGCCAGTCGGCTTGGGGTGTTATCCTCAACACTAAAGTTTCGATAAAACTTCGGAAAACTATTTATTATGTAATCGAATGTGGCTACACTAGGATGTAGGAGAACACCCCGCCGAGTGGTTGGAGTCTGGGGTCCTCGAACGATTCCTTCCCAAAATATCTGGTTTGAGACTAATCATGATGCGTCATAACGGCTCCGCGGGCAATGGCCCCGACCCTTTTCGCGAGATATGCGTGACTAAATATCCCCTTTGGCCATGTACCGTGGTATCTTGATCATGACTTGCATATATATTGTACTGCAGTACTGAGGGTTGAACACAAATCACCCTCGCAAATACTGCACCATAGTACTAGAGAAAGATACAGCATGGCTGACGTAGGCGCACAGGAGAAAAAACCTGTACCTTTGGATGAAAAATATTACAGCAATATCACACCGGAAGATATTGCCTTTCTCAAGTCAGAAACTGGAATTGACGACGACGAGACCTTGAAACGTCATATCTTAGCTGTGCAAGCTGAAGCATACAAGGTCCGATTTGGTAGTTCTTTCTGCATTAGCTGTCACCTAATACTCTTCGTTTCGCTATAGGTTCACCCTTATACTTGCATACGGATACTGAGCTTTACCCAGTACGTTAAACCTTTGAAGCGTGTAGTTAGGTTCGGTTTCTGCAGCTGGTTTTCTCGATAGGACGCTGATATCGAAGATACCTCCCTACGATCACCTTCTTAAGCTTGGCCGCGAGCGGAAGGATGCCATCTTCATCGATGTCGGATGCTGCTGTGAGTAAGACGCGCCTCCTCGTACTGCGCTTGCATCTAAACTTTAAACAGTTGGCGCTGACCTTAGGAGAGCTGTGGCTGATGGCTACCCTGTCGAAAATGTATTAGGCACTGACCTGCATCCAGGTAAGCACGAGGTCCATACTGTATCATGGGTCGTCTGTGTGACGTCGCGCAGAATTTTGGAAATTAGGTTATGAACTATTCAATTCTCCCCACGAATCTTTCCCTGTGCCGTTCGTAGCTGGTGACGTTTTAAATCCGTCTCATCTACAGGTAGTCCCGCCGTTTTATGATGCTGTGAAGACCCCAGTGCCCGACCTAAAGAGCCTGACTTCTTTAAACCCACTCCACGGGCACGTATCAGCCATCCACACCTCGTCTTTCTTCCATCTCTTCACAGAGGAGCAGCAACTTGCTATCGCACGTGGACTTGCATCGCTTCTCTCCCCTCAGCCCGGATCCATGATATTTGGTTTTCACGTTGGCAAACCGGAGAAAGGCATTTTGGACAGGGCAAGGCTAAGCTATGATATGTTTTGTCATTGCCCAGAGAGTTGGACTGCAATGTGGGACGAGATATTCGAGAAAGGCACAGTTCGCGTTGATGCAAAGCTCCAGGAGATCACTTTGGATAACATAGCGTTTGAGCTCGGGCTTTCACCAGGACACTCTGCCCCCAAGTTCTGGGTGCTGAGATGGTCTGTAACGAGGCTCTAATGCCGTCTTTCCGTCGGTTGTGTAACATTGCACTATATCTTGACTGTTGTATGTTGATCGGTGTACTAAGCTTATCTCCAAGGTCGTAGGCGTTTACGAATGTATTGTTAAGATCGAATGTCGTGTCAGACGTGGTCGAGGTCAGCGACCGTGAGCGTGGGCTTTCGAGTTGTGTCCCGCCTCACTGCCTGTCGGATCTGTTATTGTGTTGACGATCTTAATGCATATCAGTGCCCAAAGTTCATTATGCACACTTGCATGTGTCGACGGATTCCGAATCGGCGATAGTCTCCTCTATCAAGTGCATACGTGGCCCAATATGACTATATCGCTGGCGCGATCCCATTAAGTCGCATTCGAAGTTCCCTCGACTTCAACAGACGGACCCGAAACAGTGCTATAACTCTAATACTACTGCCTATAGTTTGTATGTCAACTCACTGGTACGAGGAACCAGCAAGATATTCTTCAATACATACCTGTAAAATCCAACTGAGCCCGCATAGCGCCTTCAGGCCAAAGTGAAGGCAACAATGTCCACCACATCCCGAACCACCGTGTTCAGGGTCAGCGCAACCTGTATAATTCTCCCTCGAGTACGATCCAAGAGGTAAAGGGGAAAGACAAACACGTCCCACAGTGGTTGAAACAGCTGAATAATGCATGCTTCCAGTCATTCTTGCCTTCAGGGTAATGATAATTGTTTGCCCCTTGAGCAGGAGGACTCATCGGGTCCATGCCGCAAGTGGGCTGAGGCTGATCGTGTCGAATTTCTGGACTAGAAATGGATGACATGATGTTTTGTACTGAGGAACTCGAGAGGGAGGGGGCTTGCTAGATTCACTATATAAGGATTAATATATGCGTTCGCGGAATAGCGGTGAAGATAGATAGTATCAACTTTCTGATATGATATAGTTGCATACTGCCCTAATAGACCGACACTATAACAGTCAATTAGACCTGTGCTCCTATGCAATCAGATCATCTGTCGCTGTTATAGAAATTCCGCGCAGCAAAAGCCATTTTTGTAAATACATTGACGTTCCATCTTCTCCGAGTCAGTCACAGGTGTTCGTTTTTTGTCCTTCCAGTTCGATGGTCTGTTTTTAGGGATCTAGGGCATTGATCAATCCGCTGGGGTGATGCAGGTAAACCATGAAGGGGCCGTCTGGCGGAGGACTTGCACCTGCCAGAGCAATAAGACCGTGTCAGCTGTGACGAATAAGGGACGGACTATAAACTGTCCTGAAGAAAAGCACTTCGGATTTCTCCGCCCATCCCTTGGACCCCTGGGACCCCGCTATAGCTTCCAGTGCCAGTATGTCGGTTTCATTAGACTGCAACTTGAATTAGAAAGACATGAGGTTAACGTGAGTTACTCAGACCATTTCCTTTCATTTATTATGGTTCTCTTAGAGTAACTTCCAGCTTCTCCTGATCCAAAGTATACAATCGTAAGCCCTAACTAAACTAAAGGACGCCATCACCTAGTAGATACCTTTGTTTTTGTTGTCTCAGTGTCTCAGGACGGAAGACGCAATTTGTCTTACCCTCGGTACTATTGCTATGTGGCCGTCAGCGCGAGGCAAACACAAAGCGTTCATCGACCCTATCGCTACACTCCCAAACGAACTCTTGGTCGCCATCTTTGCAGAGACTATCCGCCACGCATACGACGCGCCAGTTCGGATCTCGCATGTATGTTCTCATTGGAGGAGGCTTGCCCTTTGTACCCCAGCCCTGTGGACTATCGTACCGCTTGTCTTGTCCAAACCTGTCCAGGCCGTTCAAGAGCGCATCAGACGCTCTGGCCAGCGCCTCCTGGAAATACACGGCGCATTTGGGCAAGATGACGATTCTATCAAAATACCAATACCTACAATAGAGGAACTGCTCGATGTTGTGATAACCCACTCACATCGTTGGCGCCTTCTGCACATTACTGTAATGGAGGAAGAAGATGCAAACATTGTATTAGACAAGCTGAAGCCAATCGGAGTGCCTCGTCTCGTCTCGTTCATACTGAAAATGGACGAGACGATGTGTTTTCAATTGGGACACGACCAGGATGAGCCCATTGAACTTTTCTCTGGCGGTGCTCCCAAACTGACAAGCCTCCATTTGGCAAACGTTAGGCCTGGCCTCTTCTGTATCCCATCCGCTACCCTTACATCATATACGCTTTTCACCTGTGCCAATGGTGTAGAATTTGACGTAGTAAACTTGGCAGATGTCTTGGGTAATATGCCTGCGCTCTCTCGGGTAGTCTTTCAAGGCGATATGTGCCTCATCAGTAGCGACCCAGAGCTAGACCAAGACCAAGACGACAATACTCCTTCACCTCCGCTCAAGCTCCAAGCCCTTCGCTTCCTCGAAATCGAAGGCAATATAGGATGCACAGCTGGGGACATGTGCAAGCTTCTGGCTGCTGTATGCGCCGTTGCACCTGGCATTCAAGATTTGGTCTTTACAACTTCTCGCCCTTTGGATTCTTTCCAAAGTGACCGGCACTCTGCGTGGCAGAACCTGTTCGAGAAACATTTACCCCGAGCTCCATTTCCAGCAGTCCGCTCCCTTGTTCTCCATTATCCTATCACAACGTCATCAGCTAGCGCTATCTTCAACGGATCCCCTCATCTTGAGTATCTCAGCCTCTCTTGCCTCAACGATCAGACTGTGATAAGGTCTCTCATCGAAGCCACTCGAATGATCTCGTCAGATTCTCAGTCATCCAAAATGCCATCGGCGTCTCTCAAAACACTCGTACTAGACGACTGGAGCTCTGATTATAGCCTTTTGTTCGAGCTCTTGCGCGTGCGGAAACAAGAGGGCGTTCCTCTTGATAAAGTGATTATATGTAGCCCAGACAGCGAATTTTTCGATACATTCCCGGTGGGGCTCCGAAACAATCTCGAAAAGCTAGTAACTCTTGAACTGGGGACATCTCGGCCTCCTGTGTATGGGTGACATTGATTGCGAGTTGTGGTTCTTTTTTTCATCACAAGTTTACAACAGAGAAGCTGATCTTATAACGGTTTGCGGGTCGTCTTTCCTTTGTGAGTGCTATAATGTAATAGGGGGTTGCATATACCCTGTGAACTGATTCCAACCAACTAGACGCTTATTGGAAAGTATAATGTGAATTCAAAAGGTTTGATTCCATCGAAAATATGATGTATGCGAACGCTTTATGTGCAAGTCCAAACATTCCACAGCCAGATAACCAACAGATTTCTTCCACTTCGAGGCTACATCCCCCTAGTTTTCCTCAGTCAAACCCCAGAGAGAAAACGATGGTTCGTACTCACCTCAACTTCTGTTGACCGACAACAGATTTAATTTATAGCCGGTCATTCATGCGCCTTCAATTGGCAGTACTTTACTCTCATACCAACCCCTTTCAGCTTTCATCGATGTTATCCTGTTCACCGCTTTATCAAAGTGATGTCCCTCATCCGCGAACGTCACATAATCCACATATTCAGCATAATCATTTGGATGATTTTCTGTGATTGCATTCACGATCAATTCAGCTTGCTCCGGAGATACCACCACGTCTTGCAAGCCCTGCAGGACCTATAACAAAACCACGTGCTCGTAACAATAATGAAAAAAGACTTTCACGAAAACTCACAAGTAAAGGTTGCTTAATCCTCTTCGCGTGATGCACTGGTGACCTCGCTATATACTTCGCTTCTTCTTCCTCGTATGTACCTCCGAGCAACTTATTATCATATTCCGACTCATACTTGTGCGTTGTCTTCGCATCCGCGATCAAATCGGATATCCCGGCGTATGAGGAACCTGCCGCGAAAACTTGTAGGTCCTCGTCCTTGACGATAGACATCGCAGCCAAGGTGGCGTAGCCTCCCGACGAACGTCCACGGATAATGGCTCGGTTTCCATCTATGGGGAATTGCGTGCTCTTGGACAAAGCGCGAATGGCATCGATGCAGTCCTGTACATCAAGAACCCCCCAACCACCGTCTAACCGAGATCTATAATATATTGGTCAACATTCACTGAAATACGATCTAAGCGGAAACACACATATATTCACGGCCAAAACAGGATGAACCCCCGTAATTCACGTCCAGCCTTCGCAAAACAGGCTGTAGCTGGTCGACGTTGTAGGACATATGTGAACACTCACCATACATACCCTCTACTCGTGTAATATTGCTTTTCCCAAGACAAAGCCTGTGGTTCCATCGCGGTAGGGCCTCCATGGACATTGAGTATACAAGGAGGCTTCTCCCCTGGCTTGCTGGATCCCGAATAGTCAGGATTGTGTGGGGCATAGTAGACCACCTGCACCACTTGTCCGCCGGAATTATTGAACGTGGTCGACTGGGGAGGAGATATATATCCCTTCTTCACAATCTCATGCCCATCAGGAGTGGTGTCCTCGACCAGAGTCTCATACACAGGGCTTTCTGTAGTACCTGGCGAGCTCAGGGTGCATAAAGTCACACCACCTACGTCAACGCTCTTTTCTCCTATAAAAACCACCTGAGGCGAATCTCGTGATGCTCGTCGCATACTTGTGATGTCAGCATATGGACACTCTACAAGCTCGCTGATCGTCTTATCCTTGATATTAACATTATACAAAACGCTACGTCCCGATTGCGCACTCTTAATGTTTCGATATGCCATGAAAAGTGCGTTGTTACCCTCTTTATCCAGGAAAGCGTAAGGAGACCATCCCAGCTCCCATGCAGGAAACCCGAAGTCCTCCTCCAGTGCCTTATCAATGGCCAGTTCGGCAATTCCGCCAATAGTATACTTCCATGGGTTTTGGAAACCAGAATCTTTGTCGCTGGTGAACACCAGCGTGGTGTTGTTCGCCCAAGAAGGATAAGTAACGGAAACTGTACCTGCTTCCCCAGCCACCTTCACCGAATTGCTAACGACGTACGTCTGGAGATTGGGAACAAAGTCTGCGACGTAGAGTTTGGATCCATCCCACGGCATATCGGGGAAATTCCATTGCTGCCAAGCAATTTTCTTCCCATCGGGGGAAAAGCAGGGAGATGCGTAAAAATCTGCTCCTGGGATGTCCAGTGCGAGGCGAGTAACACTCTGTGAGGTCGTATCGATGATGCAAAGAGTAGTAATGACATTTTTGGGAGCGTCATCGGTATGATCCTCCAGGACTGCGACTAGAATCCTAGGGTCGAGGGGATAAACGACAAAGTTGGCAAAGTAGTGAACGGGGTTTTCTGAATCACATATATAAGACTTCGGGGTGTTAGATTAATTATTTGAAACGTGGACAATTACCGGGAGTGACAGCCTCGACGTCAGAGTTGGCGTTGACGCGATATACTCTTCCATCGTCGCCATTCGAGAAGTAGACAATACCGTCGTATGCTATGGCAGGTGCACCTCCATAACCCTGTACATTCGATGTAGCATCCCAACTGGGACCAATCACATCATTCTTAGCGATGGTGTCGACAATAACATTGGTACCATCGGCCCTTTGCGCAATATGATAGATGGTCGATCTAACTGGATCTACAAGGACATCGAGCAGCGTGATAGACTTCAAGTGATGGAGGGTGTCTCAGTTACGCAAACTACTATTTGAGATACTTGCATGCGTACCTCGTTAACCACTGTCTCTTCCTTGATCTCTGAATCCCATCTCCCATACGGCGCCACCTTCTTTTGGTCACTCATATCGTAGCAAGTAAGTTGTCAGATGGGCGATGGATAGTGGAGACGAAAAAGCTGGTTATATACTCCAGCTGATGTGGTACTAGGTTATATTCGCTCGTCCGACTGTAATTAGATAGTCTGGTACTTCGGGTCCACACTTGTGCAGAGTAACGAACACCGGGTCTGCATGTGGTCACACAAATAGGTGACAGCTTCCTTACCATATCGATGCATAGGGGCCCCAAGGATAGTCTAGGACAGCGTTAAATGGTGCGCACGAGTTTTGGAGCATGCGTAAGTCCGTCATCCCTGACATGCCTCGTGCTCTTTGAAAAGCCGGGTATTAAAAAGTTATAGTCATCTGCAAAGCATGAATCCTTCTGGAAGAAAAGCCCTTGGAAACGTCTGATGGTTATCGATGTGCGCTGATGCGTTTTTAAATAGACACTGAGGCTGACAGGCGGTTTGCAATTGAATAGAATAATCTCCATGAAATGATCGTAAACACGCAGACATGTATAGCACGTAAAGTGCCTATACACTTCGAATAGCCGTGTTGCACTTTGACTAACGGCTAGCGATCCATGTGCAAGTGACCTCCAGCCAATGACAGAAGTAGCGGAAGGCTAACATGTGGTTTGGTGAGCACTGTGGGCAAAGTAAAGACAATATGTCCGAACACACGTCGACCTGGCACTGGCACTTGATGAATCTCTCTTCTTCATACTCGCCATCTGCCTCACCGTCGTCGTTCTTTCAATAGTACGCACACTCTTTAAGTGACAGGGTGCAGATCCTACTGCCGTCCTGGAGCAATGAGGTTAGGTCTTTGCATAAACCTCTAAAACGCTTACTTTCCGGCTTCTGATCTGTTCAGGTCGTGGCATCCATCAGGCTATCGCAGAATGAGCATGTGTTATAGGCTTATAACCCACGATCAGCAGTAGCAGAGCTATAACAATCCCACTGTAGCCGTACAGCAGCTGGTCGCGAAGCTAGGTTAATAAAACGCAAGTACTCGATCACAGATTTCACGGTTGGCGCCTCTTTTCTTTTGGTGAAATATCCTGGTAGTGAGGAAGGCAATGACAGCTCGTATACGAAAGAAATAACATTCCAAAGTGACGGAATCCGGTTGAGGAGAAAAAAGCAGCACTGGTATTATCATACAAATTCCACCTTGTTGGGGTACAGCGCATAGATCACGTGAAGTAGAAATCAACCATTGTATCAAGCTGTATGCGTACCAGGATAAGACAGTCAAAATGGACTTGAAGACATCATTGGTGTGGGATATACAGTCTGGCAATCATTTGCCATCCACCATATATGCCCGACGGACATCTCCATAACTCATTGTATTCACCGAGGAATTTCGTTCCCCCGATAGCCAAAGAATCTTCCAGCACAATCAGGTGTAGCGCCAGATACATGCTTCAAAATCTTAGACACCGACTCATGAGGCTCTAGCACCGCACCGGGACCCCCCAAATCGGTCTTGACCCGTCCAGGATCAACAACGAAAGCGATCAGATCTGGTTTTTCTCGCGCTTGCTTATAAGTCTGTTCGTAGATGTGATGTCAGCCACGATATGCCAGCCCTACTGGGACTAAGTAAAGACCTTACCAGCATATTGAGAGCATATTTACTGATGCTGTAGCTCGTGGCCTTGGGTCCATGGTCATTCTGGATGCTAGCCAATCCGCTCGTTATATTTACAACGACCTTTCGAGTGCTCTTCTCAATAGCAGGATATAAAGCACGCGAGATAAGTGCAGGGCCAATGACATTTGACGTCATACATTTCAGCAGGTCTTCAGGTGAAAAATTGAATGCGAAATCTGCCCCGAATGCCTATTTGTACAGCCATCTTCTTTATTGAGCGAAATGAATGAAACGAGAGAACATACGATTCCAGCATTGTTGATCACATAGTCGAGGCCCTTGCCATTCAATAACTTTAATACTTCCTTGCGCCGCTTTCTATAGATGCTGCGTCTGCAACGTCCAGTTGGACTATATGCAGTGTTCCCTTTATTCCCGCAGACAATTTTAGTGTATGCAGACCAGTAGCAGTAGCTGGGGAGCGACATGTCGCAAAAACGGTGGCAGTGGGAGAGGTTAAGAGTTGTTTCGTCATTTCCAAGCCAATGCCACGGGAAGCACTATCGTCGGACACAGCGAATCAATCTCTAGAATATACAACAGATAACGAAACGACGTAAAGCTCACCCTGTGATAAACCAAGTTCCTGTGAAGTCAGACATACTGTTGCTAGAGATTGCGTTTAAATGAAGGGTATTCGTACAAGGATTCTCGCGCTTCCATGGATTTTGACCGTATATATAACAAAAAGTCTGGCTGGAGACTATGGGACCAGTAGTGTAAGACTGACAAGCTGCGGATTGAGTACACCATCACAGCTAGTTTCATATCGATAAACCTGGTTTAATTCTGTTCCACTCACCGCCTTTGTGGAAACTTGCAAATATCAACAAAGCTTACCTTGCCCAAGTTGGTCAGACTTAACTTAATGTAAACAATGTGTTGCACCTGCATACTCACTGTTTGCTCGATACCGCAGCTTCAGTACATGTACAGTCTATAATGCTGATCAAAACTTCACACAATATACCGACAGCAAGGTACCACCAAACCATGCTAAAGTTATCGTTTACCAGCCTCAGCCTCAGGGATCTGTCGAGGGTTTCCTTGGGGGGGGGGGTGGTGGCTGACAGCCTGAGAGGGAAATGATTGAACATTCCCTATTACAGCGCTTTCCGAAAACGTTGCGGGGCAGGCGACACATGACAGGCCGTCAAACTCTCACGGTATCCCACTATAAGCCACATACTTTTGATCTGATCACAGCTGGCTGGATTTAATTAGTCTCCCTTGCTTACCTAATTCAATATATGATAAGTCGATATCTTGTAAATAAGGTCTGCACCAAAGTAAGACCATTTGGTGTGAACCCCCCCTTCGGTGCCAATAACATGAATATTGAGCTCTTTTGCACCTCAATTTTAAACTCAACCGCTCTGATTGAATATGGCTTAGCATCACAATAAAGGCTAGCTATTGCTTCATCCAGCGTAACTCACCGCTTAGCCTTTGTGTGAATCGGTAGAGTTGATAGTGAAGCTCTCAGATGACAAACAACGCTAGTTTCAAATTTTTCTTCCATCCCAAACAGATGCTGAGCCATTGAGATAGTGAAACTGTCAGCCACTCCAATTAAAACGCCGCTACGAATTGCAGACACACCTGAACCAAAACACGGGCAAAAAAAAAAGGGATATTCAGAGTCATATAGGTTCAAGGTGCTACATAATTGTCGTAGTTATGATACAATAGTAGGGTTCATATACATAACATTTGTTCTCTACAGTAGCTGTTTCAGCTGAAACCTTTATGTGCTTTTTCCTGGTGTGACTAGCCACAAAATGCTGAGTTCAAGCCAAATGTGCCGCTCATGGTGCCTTCTCTATTACTACCAAAGTGGGGGTTCCTGCCAAAGGTCCTTACTTCGGACCAGACTAGGATTTAATGATGGCAGTTCTTCGACACCATATATGTGTGGATGTAGTAATGTATTATTATCTAACGCCTACATATGGTTGCCACACCCTATCAAAACATAAGCCATATATCATGTTGTGATACCATATGCACCAACATTTTGAAAATTGAGCTTTTACCATGGTGCAATCATAAAAACCATGGTGTGATATGGATGGTGCATATTTACTATATGATGATTAATGGTCTGTGTCCACCATATCATCAACCCCGATAACTATACAGCAGCGACCATACACCACAAGGATGGTTTTGTAATCCCATATGGTACTGGTCATGGTCAGGATGATGGACAGCAACCATACAACAATACATGGACTATATGCACCACTGAGTTATTTGTTGTATACACCATCATGATGGTTTAGTACTTCCATATTGTCCTTGTCTGGATGGTGGGCACCAATCATACAATAATGTATGGTGCAGCAGTTCCATACAGTCCTTGTCGGGATGGTGAGCACGAAGCATAGAATCATGTATGCCCTGTTTCCGAAGACGGTGGTTCAAATCCAGGGTGTTCATCCTTGTTTTATTATTTTTGTTTTTGTGATCACATGATAGGTGGTCATATTTCTAATAGCAAATAGTTAGTTTAATTCCATATGATAGTAAATAGACACATTATTTATTATATGAGCACACTTCAATTTCCTTAGCTCAGCTTGACTCTCCATTGTTGGATCCCAAGCCCCAGATGTTGTTGCGATCATTTTGAGACACCTGGCTTGTGCTTCGGTTCTCGAATTTTCTTCTGCTCCTTCCCATCCAAATATCTCCTTCTCTTTGCCATCCCTTTTGTTCATGTTGTGTAGCTTCTCCACTCCTGTAATAATAAAGTGCCAAAGGATGTTTTTCTCGACATTTCTGCCAAACACATGAGTATACAAGTGATCAATGCCCAAACCAAAGTTGTACAAGGTCTCGTAAAGAAAGCAGTGCACGCAAGGGGCAATGAATTGAGATTGCATGTTTTCCATGTTATTTCTGTCCGTGTCAGTGGTCCGCATATACTTCCAAATGTAGAAGTCAGATAGGGAGTGGTCCTCGGGACATCCACAGTGAAGGTACCCTTCGAGACATTGTCATGCACCAAAGTTGATTGGTAGCATGGTGTAACAACCAAGAATTTGTTACTCTGGCGCACAACTAGAACTAACTATAAAGAGGATGATGAGGGAGTGGTTACCCTTTAGGCTTCAACAAGTTAGTTGTGAGGATACAACAGGAGGACTCGCTGAGGAGTCTCCTTGATCTATTGGGGTATATATACTATCACAGGTTTGTTTGTACGTATGTACTATACAGTTGATGGAGACAGTGGCTGATGATGTCATGGGCACAGCTCGTGTGACCAGCTCCACTGTGTGAGATACTTGTAGCTAAAATAAGAAGGAAGGCAGTGCAGCGCGAGAAGGTGGAGTTTGAACAAAAGGGAAAGTGCCGCATGGCACAGTGTGTGAAAACTACAGAAAAAAGGTTAAAGAGGAAAATGAAAATTAAAGGTCCCAAAATTGTGTATTGTAACAATGAGGTTGTGGAGGCCATACATATATCCCCTTCTGTGCTCAGGTGGATTTTGTAAGGACCATTCACTTTTCCCTACCTTTTCATTCCATGTCTTGGTTTTCAGACGCTTTCCCCATTGCACCTCTGACTTTAGGACTAGAGGTGTCCTTTGCCATTTTACTTCTCATAGCCTTAATAGGTTTTCTCAACCATTGATACCATTTCATATTGCAGATCTGGGTAGCATTCCCAGCCAGCCAGCACAATGGGTAAGGACTGGTAGTAAACATCTCGCTAACCAGCTCCAAGCCGCTGTCGATGATGGGAACTGTTGTTAGAAAACCACACACAAAACAAACTAACACACAATCCTCCCAGATTCCACGGAACTTGTGTATGGGCTTTGCCTCCTAGAACAGTGGGTGCTCTGGTTGTTCATGGGGCGGTATGTATGACGATCCTTCAAAGTTAAACCCAGAGATATATGGGTGTGGGTTTTCAGGAGGAGGGATAGTTGAATTTATAGAAGATAGGGGCTTAGTGACGAGTATAGATGAGCACTACCTTGCTAATCGTAGCACAAGGTAGGTTTGAGAATGACGAGATAACGAGTTTCCCAGTGATAGCAGGCTCCTGATGCACGAACTGTAGTGCTCAGAAGGACTCTAATCGAAAGGGATGACAATGACTTTCAAAAGTGATGAGTGACGATGACAGCAGTTAACAGTGGTAGCAGTGGGAAGTGTTGTGACCACACTGGATCACAAGTAGCAGTAAGGAGTGGACTTGAGATTAGAGAAAAAGTCTGGATTGGAGTTCTTGTTGTTTTTTTACAAGGTAAAATACAGGGGTTTTTATAGTACAAAAAAGGTAGGCTATGCACAGTATAGCTGTGCAAAAAGAATGAGAAAGAACATGAAGGAAGGAATGTATGCTGACAAATCCTGCGTAGGTAGTACAGGATAAGATTGTCAAAATAAGGGAAGAAAAGAGATAAAACAATGAATGCTGTGTAAGTAATGTCACAGGTTTGTACAGCCATAAAATAAAGTCCAATAACAGAAAGAGGGCAAGAAAATTGTGATGTCATGAGAAGATGCAGTAAAAAAATGATAAAGCAAAACAATATCAGTATCAACACAGTTCCTTTATTGTCAGTCAGGCATTCTAAAAAAATATGTGTCCATAAAAATGATTCAAAAATCAAAAATAATCGCACTGTAAATGAATGTTCTGCTGAAAAAAAGAAACTGGAGCCACCGGTCCACCACCTAGTCCAAATCCGACAGTTCCATGGCCTTACCAACGGACTGGTTGTGTTGGACCACCTGGTCAAACAAGGGAGGGAGAGGAGTAGTTCCAATTTGGAACAAGTGAGTCCCAGGCAGCGTGTGGTAGGTGTAGCTGTAGCGAAGACGATGGACAAAAGATAAGTGTACCCAAGTGAATGGGACAGCGATGAACATGGGTGACGCAAGGGGATGAACCTTCTCCAGCTCAAAAACTACCCACCCACGCTCCAACCAGGCAAGACGAGCAACCAATGTTTTGATAGTATATGATGGCACATCGACGTCATGAAGATAGACCTGTTGCCCTATTTGGACTGGCCGCCGGGGCTTGCTGATATCAGCAGTGGCACGTGGTAGTCAACGGATTGGCGACGGAAGCGGATAGGAAGTGGTGACATCAGAAATGGTGGGGGTGCAAATAAGATGAGGAGGAGGAGGGTGGAGGTGACGAAAAAGTGGATTAGAATGGGGATCCAGAAATGACCATCAGGTGAGAATAAAAAGGAGAGGAAGGGGCCCATGGTGGGGCTAGGCAAAGGAAGGGGAGTAAGGGAAACGACAAAAGCGAGGGCGCAATGCAATGTGTAGCCAGTGGCGACGCAAAAATTTGCCAAAATGCCAAAATGCCAAAAGTACTGAATGGAAAAGCAAAGGTGAGCGTGACTGGATTGCCTAATAGAGGTGGTGTTGATCAGCCACAAGTTCGAAAAAGGCAATATTAATTACTATTCCACGTGGCACTGTGCCTGTGTGGCGCAAAGGCGAGTCTTTTTGAATATTCGCTTCGTTATTGACACCTGTCCATGCTACCAATCAACTTTGGTGCATGACAACGATCTAGTAACCTCGAATGGTGCCTTTCCTGTAGCCGACGACTGTTTGATATTATAAGAGAACTGGGCTATCTTTAGCCACTTGGCCCAATCCGTCTGGCTATCATTAATAAATATCCGGAGATATTGTTTCAACTCCTGGTTGAGTCTCTCCGTTTGTCCATCAGTCTGCGGATGGAACACTGTTGATAATTTAGGTTTGATGCCCAGCATCCGGCATAATTCTTTCGTAAATCCGCTAGCGAATTGAGGTCCTCTATCAGAAATAACCGTTTCTGGTAATCCATGAATGGACCATACAGTCTTTAAATAAATTTGCCGTACCAGCGGCGGTGTCATGCACCAAAGTTGATTGGTAGCATGGACAGGTGTTAATAATGAAGCGAATATTCAAAAAGACTCGCCTTTGCGCCACACAGGCACAGTGCCACGTGGAATAGTAATTAATATTGCCTTTTTCGAACTTGTGGCTGATCAACACCACCTCTATTAGGCAATCCAGTCACGCTCACCTTTGCTTTTCCATTCAGTACTTTTGGCATTTTGGCATTTTGGCAAATTTTTGCGTCGCCACTGGCTACACATTGCATTGCGCCCTCGCTTTTGTCGTTTCCCTTACTCCCCTTCCTTTGCCTAGCCCCACCATGGGCCCCTTCCTCTCCTTTTTATTCTCACCTGATGGTCATTTCTGGATCCCCATTCTAATCCACTTTTTCGTCACCTCCACCCTCCTCCTCCTCATCTTATTTGCACCCCCACCATTTCTGATGTCACCACTTCCTATCCGCTTCCGTCGCCAATCCGTTGACTACCACGTGCCACTGCTGATATCAGCAAAGCCCCGGCGGCCAGTCCAAATAGGGCAACAGGTCTATCTTCATGACGTCGATCTGCCATCATATACTATCAAAACATTGGTTGCTCGTCTTGCCTGGTTGGAGCGTGGGTGGGTAGTTTTTGAGCTGGAGAAGGTTCATCCCCTTGCGTCACCCATGTTCATCGCTGTCCCATTCACTTGGGTACACTTATCTTTTGTCCATCGTCTTCGCTACAGCTACACCTACCACACGCTGCCTGGGACTCACTTGTTCCAAATTGGAACTACTCCTCTCCCTCCC